TTTCCCAGATTTTATCCTGTACACACTCATAGGTTTGTCCTGTCTTGTAAACGCTTCTGGAAAGTCCTTGCTCACCATCTGATTCATCCTCATTCCAGCACAGTGCATGGTGGTAAAGCGTAGGCGCTCCAAAAATGAATGAATGAGTTGTAGAAGAAAGGCGGGAAAAGGTTAGTGTTTTTTTTTTTTTTTTTTTGTCAGCTATTATATGGAGAACTACAAATGATCACAAAACAACCCAAGGCACACTTGGACAAATGCCCATTTTCAACTCGCTCTCAAAAAGATGTCAGGCCCGCCCACTCTACGCCCCGCCCACGGGGTGATAGACAGGAAAGACCGTACCAGCTGTCAGGGAAACCGGAAATGCCTGGTCAGACCCCGCGCATGCGTGCCTCCGCTCAGCTCGGACTTCCTCTACGTGGGTCACCCAGTGAGAGAGCAGAGACTCGCCGGCCCGGGCCAGGGCAGTCCCACGCCCCTGCCGCTGCGCATGCGCCTTGGGGTGGTCGGCCGGCCGGGAGGCGGGGCCAAAGGACAGATTTTTCTTCTGGCCCCGCCCCTCTCCTTCCCCCACCTGCCACGTCCCGGGCCTGAGCTCTCGCCGCGTCTGGTGGGTCCGCGCGATTGGCCGGAGCCCGCGCGATCCTACGAACGCGGCGCGGCGGCTGCGGAGGGCGGCGGAGTGGGCCTGAGCGCAGCCTCCCGGACGCCCGAGCGCTCGGCGGCCTTGCAGCGGCCGGGTCGGCGGCGAAGACCCGCGGAGAGGCGCCAGCGCGGCCTCGACCAGCCGGTATGGCCGCCGGGACGGGGGCGCGGCCGCGTTCTCGGACAAAGCGGGCGGCGGGCGAGGAGACGCCGGGAGGGCCTCGTCCGCTCCCGCCGGCGCTGGCGCCGGGGCCGGAGGGGCCTGGCCGGGGGCGGGAGGCCGTGAGCGCGGAGGCCGGGTGGGGCCTCGCGGTGGGGGTGGGGGGAGGAGGAAAGGCCGCGGCGCCGGAGGGCGGGAGGGAGGGAGGGGGTCCGCCGTGGCGTGTCGGGGTGGCGGGTCCCTGGGGGCTGGGGCTGGGGCTGGGGCTGCTCCGCCTGGCTCCCGGGGGTCGGGCTGCCCGAGGGCGAGGAGGCGTGATGGCGAGGCCTGTGGGGGCCGAGCGCCTAACCGCCGGCGGGGCCTCCTCGGGAAGGCGAGGAGGGTGGCGGATGGCGCCCGTGGAGGGGGGTGTGGAGTTGGTGGCGGTCCCGGCAGAGGAACCTGCTTCCCCGGCTGTGCTGGGGCCTCATCCAGCGCCGGCTGAAGGCCCGGCCCAGTTGTGCAGCGAGGACGATAGGTAACTTTTGAGACTTTGCGAGGCTCTCTGTACCAAGTCCTTTAGGATCCGTGGTCTCATTTAATCACAAGGAGCCTCTCCTTTAGATACTCCCCCCCCCCCTTTTTTTTTTTTTTTTGCAAACGATGATGAAGACGCTTCTAGAATTACTTGCCTAAAGTCACCGAGCTAGTGGTGGGAATCTTCACCGCCTCGCTGCATCGCCTCTGGCCAGGCAGGATTGGAGGGAGGGATCCACCTAAGGACTGGTGTGCATGCCTACGAGCCTGACCAGGGGTCACGGACAGCAGGGCGGTGGGGACATGCGTGGGGAGGGGTTTGGGATGGCAATGGGGGGACAGTGATGTGATACCATAATCAATAAAGAAATTAAAAAAAAATAAAGGTTGAGTTTTGCTTAGAATTTCTGAAAGGAAATTGCTAACCCTCTTGGACGGGCCTAATCCTGCCCTTCTGAACTTGAGCAGGGCCCTGCCCAGAGGGGTGGAGTTGGAGGTGGGGCCACCGCAGGAACCTGGATCCTGGTTCCAGAGGCTGTGGTCCTCTTCTGGGTCCTTGGCCGCGCCCCTGTGTTCCCTGGTGCGGAGACCGGTGCTCCTGTTGGGAAGTTTCATACGTTCATGGCTGTGTCATTTCTGTGCCTGAAGAGGGACAGGGTGGGAGGAGGAAATGCTGGATAAGGATCTCAGCAGCAGACCTGGGCACTGTTAGCTCATACCCATTTCTTCCTGGTGGCTGAAGTTAGAGAAAAAAGAGGACCTAAAATTATGCTGTTACACACACAAAAATATGTGTGGGGGTGGGAATAAGTGAATTTGCAGGCAAACATGACGGGAGTATCTAAAGGAGAGGCTCCTTGTGATTAAATGAGACCATGGATCCTAAAGGATACAAAGTGAGATTCATGTTTTCCAGGCCATAGGTGAGCAAGAATTCCTGTCCCGCCCCCCCCCCCCCCCAACGGGTGGACATACTAAAGCAAATATAAATAAAAATTGGGATGAAAATGTGATGTTCCTATTAACTGAGGAGGCAAGGGTAGATTACTGTTAAATAGAGGAACTGGAGTAAATTGCTTTGATTTGCAGATCTGGCCTTTTTATTTTGACTAAATTTATAGGGGTGGTATTGGTTAATAAAATGATACAGGTTTCCAGTGTACAATTCTCTGACCCATTGGTGAGCAAGAATCCCCTCATAGGTAAAAGGACGTACATACTATCAGTAATATCTGATGTGGGAAATTTCTTTCAATTAGGAGTGTGTTTTGGGGAGTCACTTCTAACTCTATAATGAAGGGATATTGTGAAGGTCTGACTTAGGAGCTGACCTAATAGTACAGCTTTTCCTCCCAGTTCCTTTATCAGAACTTTATTATGTCTCATTCATGTTTTGTTCATGGAACAAAATCAAGTCTTCACCTACTATATGCCAGGTTCTATTCTAGGTGCTGCTTGAGAGTAGATAGTACCATCTTTTTTTTTTTTTTTTCCTTTAAAAAAAAATATATTTTATTGATTTTTTTACAGAGAGGAAGGGAGAGAGATAGAGAGCTAGAAACGTCGATGAGAGAGAAACATCGACCAGCTGCCTCTTGCACACCCCACACCGGGTATGTGCCTGCAACCAACGTACATGCCCCTGACCGGAATCGAACCCGGGACCTTTCAGTCTGCAGACCGACGCTCCACCACTGAGCCAAACCGGTTTTGGCAGATAGTACCATCTTGCTGAAGTTAAGCCCTGGTCCTTAACTGCATTATGGTTGATTTACACAACCTGTAGGTAACAAAAGGAAACATGTTTTACTGACATTCTTTATTACTCTCAGGCTGCAAGGCCCACAAGATGGAATCTTCACCATCTTGTTCAAGTAATCATACTTCAGAGTTTGGAACATAGCAGGTGTTCCAGTAAAATTTTCCTGAATGAAGAAGTCAGGTTTGGCTGACACGTAAAGCAGTTATATAGAGGTATCAGTTAATCACAGTCTTCAGAAATCCATTGTGAAAGAGTGCAAAGATAAAACTAACTGTATTCTTACTTTGCAATATGATAAGCACAGCATCCAAATCATGGATCACAATCCATTCTGTTATGAACTGACCTGAGAGTGTTGGATCCAGTATTTAATGTCACGTTTTAAGATGGAGCATTAAAGATTTGTTAATAAAATGTAATCTCTTCAAAGGATGGTGAGGGAGTCTAGAGACATTCATTTAAGAAATAGTTGGAAGGCTATAGGGCATTTAGATGTAAAATTTATGAAATAGGATTCATGAATATTTGAATGGTTGAGGTGTGTTGGGGAGCAGGCATGGTTCTTAGACACACATACACTAATTGTGGAGCACTATGGAAACAGTATGATGTTAATTAATGAAATAACAAATTTAAGAGGAGAAAATAGGAAGCGGCCATAGTAAAGCATGAGGTTGAAACTAGGTAGCCAGTAAAAGATAATAGGATCCTTTAAGTATTCAGAGAGATCATTTGCTTGGGGAGGAAGAAGGAGTTGATGCCAGGGAAATGCTCAGTGGTTAGAGGTAATGTATTCAAGAACATCTTGGTCTTGAGAGATAGGCCTGGTGTGTTGGGATTAGATCAAAAGGTGGGCAAAGGTAAAAAGCAAGCAGATCAGTTTGGAGTTTTTTGCAATAATTCAGGGAAAAGATAATGGAGGCTTGGATCAAGCTGATTAGAAGTGAAAACAGTGAAGTGATTGGATTCTAGAGATATTTTAAAGGTTGTGTCAACTAGATTTTAGGTACCTTAGACATTTGGTTGATGTAAGGTCTGAGGAAAAGAGAGGAATTAATTTATAATAATCTATAATAATAAAAGCATAATATGCTAATTAGACCAGATGTCCTTCTGAACAAAGCCAGGGTTGCAAGGGAAGCCCTGGTCCCTGGATCCCAAGTGCCTGCTGGTGGCCAGAGGGAAGCCCAGGTCCCCAGAGGGAAGCACAGGTCCCGGGTGCCAGAAGGAAGCTGGTGCTGGCAGCTGGAGGAAGGAAGGCCTACTCTTTTTTTTTTTTTTTTTTTTAATATATTTTATTGATTTTTTTACAGAGAGGAAGAGAGAGGGATAGAGAATTAGAAACATCGATGAGAGAGAATCATCGATCAGCTGCCTCTTGCACACCCCCTACTGGGGATGTGCCCGCAACCAAGACACATGCCCCAGACCAGAATCGAACCTGGGACTTTTCAGTCCGCAGGCCGACGCTCTATCCACTGAGCCAAACTGGTTTCGGTCTGAAGGCCTACTCTTGCATGAATTTCATGCATCAGCCTTTAGTGTATATATAATCTTGAACAACTGGCAGGAAGGAATTGTCATTAACTGAGGTGATGAAGATTATAGGAGAAGCAGATTTTGAGGGGAAGACCAGGAGTTTGTTTTTAGACATGTTAAAATAGAAATCTAAATGGTAATGTCAAATATGCATTCAACTAGATATAAAACAATGAAACTTATGCTATTGTTTACATAATAAAGTTACCTCCAGACCATTTTAAGGTGAATATGGTAATGTTGGAACTGTGGGTCTCTTTTGATGGTCAGAAGTTATTAGATTCTAATAATAGCTTTACTTTTCAGCTTTTAAGATATGTTTTATAGCTGTTTAATCATCAAAACCATTTTTTCAGTGTTTCTCTAGAATTGTATATGTCAGACATCCTGGAGTCCACCATGAATGGACAGTTGGACCTAAGTGGGAAGCTCATCATCAAAGCTCAACTTGGGGAGGACATTCGACGAATTCCCATTCATAATGAAGATATTACTTATGATGAATTAGTGCTAATGATGCAAAGAGTTTTCAGAGGAAAACTTCTGAGTAATGATGAAGTTATCATAAAGTACAAAGATGAAGGTAAGAGTTTCTAAAGTTAGTTTTAAAAATATAAGCATTATTATGTGTTCTTTTGCCAATATTTCATTGAAATCTCAGAATAAAAATTTCATCCCATGGTGATTTGAGTGCCTACTTTTATTAAATGGGATATTTATATAGTTAGTTTTCTTTTATAAATAGCTATTACTAGAAGGGGTTTGAAGTGATAGTACACTGTCACATGTTTTCACAAGCATTTCTTTTTCTCTTCAGCCTGTGCAATTCTGGCTTCATTTTTGCTTTTAAAACCAAACTTTCACTCATATTGTCCAAAGTAGAAGACATATCAGTAGGTATTGAATAAAAAAGGATTCCATGGTCAACTAAGCCTGGAAAAGTTTGTTTAAAAAAATACAAATGCATTTTATTGTAGGAAATTATGCTGATGCGCATTGTCAGTTTATACCAGCAGGAGTGGGGAACATCTGGCCTGCAGGCCACACAAATCATTTGGTCTGGCCCTGCCAAAGCATTAGGGGCGGGTTAATTAAATGGTTGATCAAATGTAGCAGGCTAATTTTAAGTTGATAATTTTATTTGGCCTGTGAATGATGTTATAAATATCCAAATGGCCCTTGGCAGAAAAAAGGTTCCCCACTGCTGTATAGCATACAGAATTCCCAAACTTATTGACCACAAAGCTACTTTTATGGAGATGGGTTTTAACATGAAAAATGTTTTATCAAACATACAGTGGAATTACAGTAGTAGACTCTTTATTTCCTTTTCTTTAAACCTGTTTTCTTTGTTAACATTTCCTGAAGTTGTACTTTAGGTGGTTACCAGTATCTTTTTTACTGCTGAATTTATTCCCAGTCTGTTTTATTTTAACCCTAATACCCTGCACTGCTGACCATATCACTCTGTATTAAGTACTCTTATTCTGTGACACTGCTTTTTTTCATAATGTATGCCCTCACAGTATCCAAAACTAATTTTTGAGAGTCATCTATGATAAGAAACAATAAAGGAAAGTGATTTATTATTACAATACACCAACTTTCATCTCTTTGATTTACAAATATGTGCTTTAATTTTATCACTTATAAGTGTCTTTTTTTTTTTTTAACTTTAGTACTTGAGATGCTTTGCTTTTACCTCAAACTTGGAATATCTTCAACTGTAACTGTTTATCTAGCCTACTCTTTTTTTTTAAAAATATATTTTTATTGATTTTTTTACAGAGAGTAAAAGAGAGGGATAGAGAGTTAGAAACATCGATGAGAGAGAATCATTGATCAGCTGCCTCTTGCACACCCCCCACTGGGATGTGCCCACAATCCAAGTACATGCCCTTGACCAGAATCAAACCTGACGCTCTATCCACTGAGCCAAACCGGTTTCGGCATCTGGCTTACTCTTAACTCTCTTAGTTTTGTTTAGGTCTGGCAGGGTCAGCCAGCTTTTTCTTTAAAGGATCAGATATATATTTTAGATGATTACATAAGCACTGTGTCTCATCATCTTTTCTTCAAAACATTTTAAAAGTGTAAGAATCATTTTTAATTTGCAGTCTAAACAGGGATTTATTCATTGGTTGCTATTTGTGGACCCCTAACTTAGGGTGTCCTTATTGTTGAAACCTTGTTCTCTACATCTAGTTACCACATACATTTATTGTCCATGGTGTTTTTAGGAGTTTTGAATTGTACAGGTTTGTTTTCTGCTGGCTTACATAAAGTTTCTTTTTTTTTTTTTTTTGCCATCAGAGATATTCTATTTCTATTGTGGAATTTATAAAAGAAAAAGGGCAGTTATAAAGAGTTTCCTTCTTTTACATATATACTATAATTTTCCTTAAAATGTTTTTATGAATAGAATCCTTGAAGTTGAACATTAGATATGTTTATTACAAGAAATACGTCTGGTTATAAAGAACTGAAAACAATGATAAAGTTCTCTGTATGGCTTTTATTGCTAGTTATGGCCAAATCTGTCCAACCAGTGATAAAATTGGTGTGGAAGAACAGCCTCTCAGCCTCTCAGCCTCCCGAGAACAAAACTCCTTTTCTAAAGCAACTGTCTTTGAAGATACCCTGCACAGGACCTCTGACTAACACCTTGTCTATAACTGCTTTTCTGTTCCTGCTCTCTAGACAACATTTTTCTCTCTTGCCTAGCCAGCCCTTTGAAAGCTTTTGAAATAGGTGATTGATATGCAAATTATCTTTTTCTTCTTCTTTTTTTTAATCCTTGGGATCTAGGGGATTTCAGAATCTAGTGTATATGAATATTTTTGGGGGGTGAGTTGATAATTTTTATCTTAAAATGGTCAGTAGCCTAAAAGACTAGTGTCTACCCATCATTAGGGCGATTCTGTAAAAATATTTTTTGCGAAACTTTTAGTTAATGTTATATATATGCCTTCTCTGCCATTTGTGTCAGGGATGTTTTAATGTACTTAGAATTAAAATTTGAACCTTGAAAATATTTCTTTAACTTTTGATAAATACTGAGTGTCCCCCAAAAATGTATACACACTTTAATAGCTGTTAGCTCTATTTTGAGAATGAAATGTATTTTAATAACCACTGCCTTTAAATTATTCAAAGTATGTGTATACAATTTTTTGGTGACACTGTATATATTTAAATTTTTTGGAATGGAAAGATGTTAGTAATTTGTGATATTGCTACCATGCATCTCCTGGTGACTAGTGAAAGATGACTTAATGTGTTAATGTTAGCTATGTTTTGGCTATTATAAAAGTAATAAGCAAAATAGGTTTTTTATTCTTTTGAACATACATTTTCCATAGATCCCTTAATGTTTGTAAGGTTATTTTTAAGGGATTTTGGATAATTATTTAATTTTTAAAAAATTCTTTATTTAAAGTATTAGGAGTCTCCTTTTTTTCCCCATTGACTTCTCCCCTGCCACTCCCTCCTCCAAGCACAAGCCCTTACTCCTCCTACTGTCTGTGTCCATTGGTTTTGCTCATGTGTATACATACAAGTCCTTTGGTTGATCTCTTACTGTTTGTAAGGTTTTTATGGGAGATTCTATTTATGCAATCTGGGTTTTAGATTTTAATTTAATGTAGATCCTAGTTTACCACTGATATAAGTTTGAAACTAATGTCTTTTTTTTTTTTTTTTTTTTATCCAGATGGAGATCTTATAACAATTTTTGATAGTTCTGATCTTTCCTTTGCAATTCAGTGTAGTAGGATACTGAAACTGACATTATTTGGTAAGTGGTAAACTTTCTAATAAATTTACTATTTTATTCATTGTATTTTTATTAAAGACTTTTCTAGTTTTTTACTTTTAAAGACTCAGAATTAAACAATAAGTTTTCAGTTGTATCAGAATTTTTGAATTATTAAGGCTTAATTATACCCTGTTTCCCCGAAAATAAGACGTGTCTTATATTAATTTTTGCTCCCAAAGATGTACTAGGTCTTATTTTCAGGGGATGTCTTATTTTTCCATGAAGAAGAATATGGTACACATTTATTGTTAAATGAAAATAAAGAAAATTTATTACCTGTATACGGTACGGTAGTACGGTAGTTGTCAACACAAACCAGACAAACTGTGAATCCTACAGTATCAAGAATTTACTCATTTATTCAATAACAATCATGTCATCATCTTCTGGAACATCATCATAACAATTCAATTCCTGAATTTCCTGGTGAATTTCTTGTGACTCCATTTCTTTCAGAATCAGTGGACCAAATCTCTCATGTTTAGCTTAGGGGGGGCCTTATTTTCAGGGGTTGTCTTATATTTGACTCAGAAGGAAACCTGTAAGTAGGTCTTATTTTTGGAGGATGTCTTATTTTCGGGGAAACATGGTATGTATGTAACTATAATTATACATATATATGATTAATGGAAAGTAGTCATATTTAAAATTCCCCCATTGCTCCATTATCCTAAATCTCTGGGCAGTGCTGCATGTGGCCTGATGTTACCTGCTTCATGGTGCCAGTTTTTGTGTCAGGCCCTGCTGCTAGATGCCATCTCCCCTCCCCCCCCCCCAACCAGTGCATGAAACCTGTGCACTGGGCCTTTAGTATTAGAAATAAAAAGAAGCATAACTATGAAATATAGTAGAAACATTTAAAAAAATCTATATTATGACTACTGTGAATAACTTTCAATCTGAAAACTTCAATGACATGGACAATTTCCTAGGTGAATTTAATATATAAGTACTAGAGGCCTGGTGCATAAAATTCATGCACACTGGGGTGTATCCATCAGCCCAGCCTGGACCTTCTCCAATCTGGGGCCCCTCGAGGGATGTCCTACTGCCCAAATAGGCAAAGATGGAATCTGTAGTAGCTCATTTTAGGAGGTTATAATTTAACATGAAAACCACTCAAGGGAAATGCAGATTAGTCTCACTTAAATGGGCAGTAGGACATCCCTCTCACAATCCAGGACTGCTGGCTCCCAACTACTCACCTGCCTGCTTTGCTGATTGCTCCTAACTGCTTCTGCATGCCAGTCTGATCCCCTAACCTCTCCCCTGCCAGCCTGATTGATGCCTAACTTCTCCCTGCCAGCCTGATTGTACCTAACTGCCCTCCCCTGCAGGCCTGGTCACCCCCAACTGCCCTCCCCTGTAGGCCTGGTCCTCCCAAACTGCCCTTCTGTGCAGGCCTTGCCCCCCTAACTGCCCTCCCCTACAGGCCTGGGTCCCCCCCAATTGCCCTTCCCTGCAGGCCCAGTCCCCCCATATTCCCTCCTCTGCCTGCCTGCTCACCCCCAGCTGCCCTCCCTTGCAGGCCTGGTCCCTCCCAACTGCCCTCCCCTGCCGGCCATCTTGTGGTGGCCATCCTGTGTGTTGGAGTGATGGTCAATTTGCATATTACCATTTTATTACATAGGATTTAAAAAAATAACAAATTTGTCCCAATAAACATTGAAGAAATCAATTATTCTACTAAATATTTAAAGAACAGTTGATCCCAAATTATACAAACTATTTCAGAGAATAGGCAAAGATGGAATCTGTAGTAACTCATTTTAGGAGGTTATAACTTTAACCACTCAAGGGAAATGCAGATTAGTCTCACATAAACCTAGATACAAAATACTACTACTAATAAATCAAATTCAGCAGTGAATATTAAAATATATCACTGCCAAGATTTTTTCATCCTAGGAATATAGGATTGACTTAAATAAAATCTGTTAATACCACTGTTCATATAGGGGCAAAACTGAACCATCTTCTCTAAAAGAAAAAGTATTCAGACCCCAGTCTTGTTAAAAAGTCATAGCAAACTAGGAATAGAAGGGAAGTCTTTAACCTTATATTGGGCAACTATCACATAGGACAATTGCTATGTACTCTACTATAAAGGATTATAAAATGTAACTAAAATACTAATCATAATTATAACAAAAAGATAATGAGGTAAATGTAATGAGGCAAGATTGTTATGGAAAAATGTGTAAAATTTTAATATTAATCATGAAGCCGGGGTATGCGTTTTGGAGAGATCCTGCCAGGGAAATTTAATTATGTCTGTATTGTTTTATTTCTTAATGACCAGGAGCAAAGATGTTAATGAGTTTATCTTTTTGTGTGCTTGAAATAACTCATTAAAGTCATAAAGTTATACTAATAAAAATATACAATTATGGAATAGGGAATTTAAACTTATAAAACATGGTATTCCAAGTGCCACTAAATAGATGACCTCAGATCATAGGCCACATTAGGGATATATCTACTGAGAGATCACCAGGATCACAGCTGTAGTTGAACAAAGTTGGGTGTATTTGCATTAATTTTATATGGATAGTCTTAAATACAAAAAGGACACGGTAAGCCCAAATAACTTAGAAGGAAGAAAATAATAAAGTACAGAGATTAATTAGAATTTAGGGACTCTGTTAGGTTTATTCAAGAAGAAAAAGGATACAAATAAGCAACATTAGAAATGCAAAGGGACATAACTACAAGTACTTCCGCAGTGAGGAGGACAATAGGCTGTTTCAGTAAAAGTGTTAGAAAGGGTTTTTCATAGGTTTTGAACTTGTGTTAGATGATTTTTGATAAGGTTCAAGGAAGTGGGACTTTGTTCTAGACTGGATGCTCTCAGGAAGTGGTAGGGATAGTCCTGTGCTTGGGCACCTTACTAAATCTAAACCAGAGGTGGAGGAATGAATTAAGGCTAAAGCTGCATTTGTTAAAAAGCAACAGCTTTTTAATAGTTGGTCAACGTTCTTGTTTTTGTCTGTGTTCTTACATAATTATGGAATGGCTTTGTTTTTGTCTTGACTCTTGATCACAGTAACGGAGTGATCTGTTCTGATTGTTGGTGTTCTTTGAAATACTTCATGTTCAGCAAGAGAACATCATAGCCTACCTGAGTGCCAGGCCAGTTCCTGGCTGCTTTTCTCTTTCTCAGATATTAGAGAGAAACCAGTCACCCCCTAAAAGCTAAGAATTGATATAGGTAGGAGGTGATATTAATTTCCTCATAACTATATAGGGAGTATAAAATACTGGTGGGTTGTGTTCTAAAAGCTTACATTTTGATGTTTGAAATATATTTAAGAATCTCTCTGAACCTTTATTTTCAAATAGATTTCCTTTTCTAATATTATGCCTTAGGAATTCGTATATATGTGTACTGGCAATGCATAAAGCCTTTTAGTTTAATTTTTGAGCCCCTACCTTGAGGTTTGTATTCAGAGCCTGGTGTCACTTTTTTTAAATTCAGATGAAAGTCATTTGGATAAAATGGGTAATTAAAAGAGGTAATGTTGCCTTCATTAAAAACAAACTAGTTATTGAGAAATCTCTTGACTATTTGTTTCTCAGATACTGCTTTTGGAAGTATAGTTGACTTGAACAATGCCTGGTTAGGGGACTCAACCCCACACACAGTCAAAAATCTGCATATAAATTTTGAGTCCCTGCTAATAACCTACTGTTGACTAGAATCCTCACAATTAACACAAATGGTCGATGAACACATTTTATATGTTATGTGTATTATGTACTGTTTTCATACAATAAAATAATCTAGAGAAAAAAATGTTAAGAAAATTATAAGGAAGAGAAAATATATATACTGTATTTATTGAAAAAAAAATTGTGTATAAGTTGGCCTTCATAGTTCAAAGTCATGTTGTTCAAGGACCAACTATACTTTTAAGTATGGTAGTGTGGATTCATGAATTCTGCATATTTTTGTTTTAAATAGGTTACTTTTTAGGTCAATTATTTTAGGTAGTAAATTTTTTTTTAGGTCAAAAGTAGGCAAGAGGGATAGCAGACCTATTAGTCATGTACCATTTAACATGAATGTGTAGAATAAAGTGTTTATTGTGTTATTTCAAGAATATGAAAGAATAGATAAAATGAGTTTTTGAAGGTATTTGATTTCTATTAGAACCAAGATGGAGATGTAGGTAAACACTGGTACTTGCTGCCTCCCACAACTACATCAAAATTCCAACTAAAGCCGAAGCCGGTTTGGCTCAGTGGTAGAGCGTCGGACTGCGGACTGAAAGGTCCTGGGTTCGATTCCTGTCAAGGGCATGCACCTTGATTGCGGGCACATCCCCGGTAGGGGGTGTGCAAGAGGCAGCTGGTTGATGTTTCTCCCTCATCGAAGTTTCTAGCTCTCTATCTCTCCCTTTCTCTATATTAAAAATCAATAAAATATATTTTAAAAAATTCCAACTAAAATATAGAACAACCGTCATTCAAAATTGCTTGAAATCTGGCTCTGTGGAAGTCCTACAACTAGAGAAGTAAAGGAGAAAGCACCTCAAGTCTGGCAGGAGGGTGGAGGTGCGGAATAGGTTGGTCCAAAACCACATACATAGTATTTTTTTTTAATTTTTATTTTTTTTAATAGGGAGAGAGATTGTGGTTGCAGAGGCTACCTATGAGAAGCAAGGGTTCCCATCCCCACACCAGACCCCCAGCCCAGGGTTCCAGTACTGTGAAGAGAAGCCTCTGTAACTTCAGGCTGTAAAAACCAGTGGGGATTCTGGCTGACTGATATGGAGGCTGCTGGAGACCCAGCATTCCTCTTAAAGAGTGGGCACACAAACTTACACATCCCACTTCCTCTGAGCTCCAGTGCTGGGTAGCAGCTTTGGGGAACCCAGGGACATATGGGGAGGAACTTAATTGTTTGGCATTAGGGCAGGAACTTGTCCTAGATGGGGGTGTTCATAGGGGTCATTGTTTCTGTGCTGGGACTTCCCCTGTCACAGAGATGACTCGCAGCCATATCTGAGTTTTCCATCATCCTGGCTCACATTGTTCCCTCTGCCCTGGTGATCTCCAGGGACCCTGCCCCATCCAATTTGCAACCCTACCCAAGCTGTTTGCAGCTGCTTTTCTATATAAACTAGAAGTCCGATATACAAAATTCATGTAAGAGTAGGCCTTCCTTCCTCTGACTGCTGGCACCAGCTTTCCTCTGGCACCCAGGACCCAGGCTTTCCTTTGGCCGCTAGCTGGCACCAGGGACCCGGGCAACCCTCTGGCCACTGCCAGCACCTGGGATCCAGGCATCCCTCTGGCTACTGGTAGGCACCTGGGACCCGGGCTTCCCTCACAGCCCTGGCTTCTTCTGGAAGGACGTCAGGTCTAATTAGCATATTATGCCTTTATTATTATAGATGGCTGTTCTGGCTCTGGTTTCAGACTTTCCTAAAATCTCTGAAACAAGCAGCAGCTGGCATCAGCATGTCCCAAACCTATCAAGAAAACCAGTACTAGCCCCAGCCTGCCTTGCTTCACAGCTGGACTTTCCTGGGCACTTCAAAGCCCAATACTAGTAGCTGCCATTTGCAGATCTCAATTCCTGGTGGGTGGCCCAAGGCAGTGGTTGACTTTGTAACTCCTGAGAGGCCCCAGAGCCAGTGTACCTGGTGAACAACTTTAAACCATACCAGATTACAACTCTACACATACATAAGCAACACACTCCTGGGCCAGACTCAGTGAGTACCAAAGCTCCACTGAAGCAAATCCTGCTCCATAGGGATATTTCCTGCACAATAACTCTTCCACTGTAGTCACAGCTGGTTCTCACAGCCAATTGGCTTGAGCAATCAAGGCTCAACTACAACAGAACTGTGCAAACAGCCCACATGGGGGTTCACCTAGAGTGCGCAGCTCAGGTTGACTAGGGAGGTTGAGCCACTGTGCCCTACAGGACACCTATTACATACACAAGGCCACTCTACTAATTCCCGGAGACATAGGAACTCTACCTAATACATGTAAAGAAACACAGGGAAGCAGCCAAAATGCAGACAAAGAAAAATGTCACAAATGAAAGAAACAGAAGAAAGCAAACTAATACAGGGTTCAAAGTAATGGTTATAAAGTTGCTCGAGCATCTTAATGAGAGCTTCAAGGGATGTAGTGAGACTTTCGAGGACCTTAAAATTTCAAAGACATGAAAAAGGACCAGTCAGAAATTAAGCATAAACTAAATGAAATAAAGAATATTTTTCAGGGATTCGACAGTAGAGTAAGGATTCTGGGAAATCAACAATTTGGAATATGAGGAATCAGAAAACGCCTAATAAGAGCAAAGAGGGAAAAAAAAAAAAAAGAGTCCAAAAATATGAAGATAGTAAGGAGCCCCTGGGACAACTTCAAGCATACCAACATTCACATTATGGAGTTTCACAGGAAGAGAGAGAGCAAAATATTAAAAACCTGAATAATGACAGAAAACTTCTCCTACCTGGTGAAAAAAATGGACTTAAAAGGGGAAGCACAGAGTCCCAATCAAGAGGAACCCAAAGAGGCCCACACCAAAACGCATAATAAAGACAAAGAATCTTAAAAGCATTAAGAGAAAAGCAGTTAGTTGCCTACAAGGGATTGCCCATATGACTCTCAGCTGATTTCTAAATAGAAACTTTGCAGACTAGAGGGAGTGGCAAGAAATATTCAAAGTGATGAATAGTAAGGACCAACAAACAAGATTCCTCTATCCAACAAAATTATCATTTAGTGTTGGAGATAAAGAGCTTCACAGACAAGAAAAAGCTAGAGGAGTTCATAACCACCAAACCAGTATTTCTAGCCTATCTAAAAGAGTAATATGCAAATTGACCGTCACTCCAACACAAAAGACGGCTGCCCCCATGTGATCAAAGATGGCTGCTCCGATGTGGACACAAGATGGCTGCTACAAGATGGCCAGTTAGGGAGGGCAGTTGGGAGAGACCTGGCCTGCAAGAGAGGGCAGTTGTGGGCGATCAGACCAGCAGGGGAGGGCAGTTGGGGGTTACCAGGCCTATAGGGGAGGTAAGTTAGGGGCAATCAGGCTGGCAGGGGAGTGGTTTAGGTGGTGGTCAGGCTTGCAGGCAGAAGTGGTTAGGGGCCATCAGGAACGCAGGCAGGTGAGCATTTGGGAGCTAGCAGTCCTGGATTGTGAGAGAGATGTCCCAGATTGGAGAGGGTGCAGGCTGGGCTGAGGGACCCCCATGTAAGAATTTCATGCACCGGGTCTCTAGTGTGTGTGTGTGTGTGTGTGTGTGTGTGTGTGTGTGTGTGTGTGTATGTATCTATATCTATTTATCTATATACCTATATGAGAGGGTGAGAGAAAAACATCGATGATGAGAATCATTGATTGGCTGCCTCCTGCATGTCCCCTACTGGGGATCAAGCCTGCAACCTGGGCATGTGACTTTGACTGGAATTGAACCCGGGAGTCTTCAGTCTGCAGGCCAATACTTTTATCTACTGAGCCAAACCAGTCAGGGTGAAGAGTATTCTTTAAGAAGAGAAGGAGGAGGCTTATAGGACCTTCAGTCTGCAGGCCAATGCTCTATCCACAGAGCCATACCAGTTAGGGCTAAAGGTATTCTTGTAGAATCAGGTGGAGGAGGAGGAAGATGGGGAGAGGCAGGGTGGAGAGAGGGGGGAAGGAGGGAGAGAAGGAGGAAGAGGAAAAATATGAACAATAAATGGCAACAAAAATTAAAATAATATGGCAACAAATACATATCTATCAACAATTGAATATAAAAATTAAAATAAGTGAACTGCTGCATCCACTGATGATGCCAAGTGATTGAGACTGGTGCCAGGTGCTGGCAGTGGGTGTGGGCAGGGCCGTCGCAGTGGGTGTGAGAGGTGGAGATTATTACCCCCCAGGAGCAGGGAGAGGTGGAGAAAGCCGGAAGGACCATGGCGCGAGGGAGCAAAGCATTTTCAGCAACCACCAGAGGCTCTCCCTGATGACGGCGACTAGCGCCCCATATTCGTCTGGTGCCTCTACTCACCTGCTCCACCATCCCACTGCAACTGATGCCCACCATGTTCCGCACATGCCCCCTGGTGGTCAGCGCTCATCATAGTGACCAGTTGTTCTACTGTATGGTCTATTTGCATATTAGGGTTTTATAGATAGATAGATAGGTAGGTAATACCTATGGACACAGACATTTGGGAGGTGAAGGCCTGGGGTGGGATGGGAACTGGGAGGAGGGGGCAATGAGGAAAAAGAGGGGACATCTGTAATACTCTCATAATAAAGATTTAAAGAAATGATATCAGCTTTCTATAGGTTTTAATTTATTTTACTGTCATTAAATTCTTGTAAGAAACCTTTTTAAAGAATGTGATCATAAGCTGTAGATATGGCATCAACAAAGACTAATGAATATGTATTTTTTCCAAAAAGTAAATTATTAGCAATAAATAATCCTTTCCTTAAAAATAGTTACCATTCTAATGACATTAATAAGTATCTTGTTTGATTTTGTTTCACTTTTAAAATAAATTTTATTTTTTCTTAGTGCATATTATTCTGTCAATATACTTATACATTTATTGTATATATACAATATACATTCCCTAATTTTAACAAAATTAATTCTTTTATTTCAGTTAATGGCCAACCAAGACCCCTTGAATCAAGTCAGGTGAAATATCTCCGTCGAGAACTCATAGAACTTCGAAATAAAGTGAATCGCTTATTGGATATCTTGGAACCACCTGGCGAACCAGGACCTTCCACCAGTATTCCTGAAAATGGTAGACTGTGACCCCACTTTTGAAAAAAGTTATCCTTACATCATTTTGCAGATTAAAAAAACTAAATACTCCTCAGTAGGAGTTCAGATGGCAGTCCCATTGTCATATCTTTTTATTTTGCTAGTATTCATATGTGTATTCTCAAAACCTGGCTGTTCATCAGGATTGTTGGGGGATTTTATTATACCAAATAGAGGCTCGTTGCATGAAATTTGTGATTGGGGTGGGGGGTGGAGAGGGTCCCCTCAGCCCAGCCTGCGCCCTCTCCAATCCAGGACCCATCGTGGGGGATGTCCAACTGCCAGTTTAGGCCTGATCCCCAGGACCTGCACCCAGCCTACACTCTCTCACAATCTGGGACCACTGACTCCTAACTGCTCGCCTGCCTGCTTGCCTGATCGCCCCTAATTGCCCTCCACTGCTGGCCTGGTCACTCCCAACTGCCCCTCTCCCCCACCCCCTAGCCAGCCTGCTCGCTCCTAATTGGTCCCCCCCCCCCCAGCCTGGTCACCCTCAACTGCCCCCCGTCCCCCCATGCCATCCTGGTTGCCTTTTATTGCCCCCCCCCGCTGGCCTGGTCACCCTCACTGTTCCCTCCCCTCCCTGCCCCCCTGCCCTCCTAGTTGCCCCCAAATGCCCTGTCTGCAGGCCTGGTCACCCCACACAGCCTGCTGCTCGGTCATTTGGTCATCCCTCACTACCCCCCTTTGCCGACCTGGTCGCCCCACACCGTCTGCTGCTCAGTCGTTTCGTCGCCCCTCACTAACCCCCCGCTGGCCTGGTCACCCCACACAGCCTGTGCTCGGTCGTTTCGTCGCCCCTCACTAACCCCCCCTGCCAGCCTGGTCACCCCACACAGCCTGTGCTCGGTCGTTTCGTCACCCCTCACTAACCCCCCCTGCCAGCCTGGTCACCTTCAACTGTCCCCTCACTGGCCTGATTGTCCCTCACTGCTTCCCCCTGCTGGCCTGGTTGTCCCCAACTGCCCCCCGCCACTGGCCTAGTTGCCCCTAACTGCCCTCCATGCTGGCCTGGTCACCCCTCACTGCCCTCCTCTGCTGGCCTGGTTGCCCCACACAGCCTGCTGCTCGGTCATTTGGTTGCCCCTCACTAACCTTCCTGCCGGCCTAGTCACCCCATGCAGCCTTTTTGGTCGTTCTTTCAGTTGCCATGGTCGCTTAGGCTTTTATAAAAATAGATAGATTCCTAGGTCTTACCTGTTGGAGAGCAGGACCTATTGAAGAGCAGACCCAGGAATCCCATTTATAAAGTGCTCTTTTGGTGATTGTTTCAGTCTAATTTTAGACTTGTGGGTTTGTGACATAGGTAATTTTTCAAACCCCTTAGACTCTTGAATCCTTTTCAGTGTAATAGTTAATGAACCTTAACAATTAAAATAATTTTGTTTCAGTTGCTATGCAAGTATTTTCAAGTAAAAAATAATTCTAGCCCTGGCTGGTTTGGCTTAGTGGTTAGAGTGTTGGATCAAAGGGTCATGGGTTCTATTCCCAGTCAGGGGTTTCTGGTCGAGGGCATATAACTTTTGGTTGCAGGATCCATCCCCCAGCCTAGGGTGTGAGTGGGAGGCAATCAATCGGTGTTTCTTTCTCTTCCTCTTTCTCTTTCTCCTACTTCTCCCTCCCTTCCATTCTGTCTAAAAATCAATGGAAAAAAGATTCTTGGGTGAAGATAAAAAAAAAAAATCTAGATTAGTGTATTCAAATGGTGTATTGTAAAGTTTATCTTAATTTTTAATTAAAATATGCAAAGAAATTTTTTTTTTCCATTTTACAGATGGCATGTACTATTTACATTCATATGATTTATCAGTAAATTTGGAACTGACAGAAATATGCAGCTATCTATGGTTTTCAGTGCTCTACCTTTGCAGTGGTTCTTGGACACTTGCTTCCTTTATGAAGCAGATAATTCCGGAGGCTACCTTAGATACTGATTGACCTGTTACAGTAGCTCTAGCAGCTAGCTAACAGAGTTACTAGTAGGCGGGTGGACATATATTGTATTTTCTGATGGATTTAGTTTGCAATTGGAAGGATGCACAGGTAGTGGAAGGTAGTAGTGTGAGGATGAATAATTTGTAAGATTGATGTGATATGCTCTTGGGGGGAGCATATCACGGAATTAGAGGAAGGAAAATTGGTAAGGATGATGGATAACTGGGGGACTTATTTTAAAGAAGTACGTAGTCATAAGAGTTTTCTAGAAATTCAGGAAATGTTAGTAGAACCAGTGGAATGATAAGAATGAATGATACAAGTCTTTATGCACTTATATTCCCCTTAGTACTTATGCTTTCTTTTATAAGATAAATTTTTCTTGATTAAAAATGTGATCTAATACCATGTTTATTTACTTGCTTGGTAACAAAAAATTGATTACTAACTGTTAATTGAGTAAATCGTTAGCAATATATTTTTACTTGTATATTTTGTTCTGTTTTTATATCTTTCTTTGTCTTCATGTCAGATTCCTATTTGTAAAATGTAGGTTATTCCTGAATCCCTTTACTTTTACAAAGTAGTAGTATAAATACCTATTGATACTTTAGTATCCTTAGAAGAAAAAAATGGTTTTAAATGTATCCTGCTCATAATGTTTAAAATTTTATTTTTCCATTTTAAAAATAGTATATTATAGAAACTTTAAACTTATATGAAAATAGACATAATACTGTAATGAATCCCATGAACGTACACCCAACTTCAAGTCATAGTCATCATCATGTCATCTATACTCCACCAATTTCCACTCCTTCCATATTATTTTGAACAGATCCCAAACACATTTCATTTTGTCTCTAAGGACTTAATTAAATAAGTATTTGAAACAAAAACATATCAAGTTAAAATAATGCTTTTAGTGTATTGGTTGGCTTGGAATTTTCATGTAATCTAGTAATAGACCAGTAGACAAGTAGAAATAAAACATAAATGTTGATAATTGTAACTTTAATTAGTATCTTCTTTTACAAAATAAATGTCCAGTATGTGTCTGATATTAGGTATAGGTCTTGGGGCTCCAAGAACCAAAAAAAAAATAATTTTTTTCTCTCTATTTGTTAAGGAGCATATATATATATATATATATATATATATATATATATATATATTTTTTTTTTTTTTTTATCTGATAACTTTTAGGGAAAAAATGTTGATATAATTTTTTGAAAAAGCTGTTATTTATCTTGTATTTCTTTTTTTTTTTTTTTTTTTTTTTTTTTAGTAAATGTATTTTATTGATTTTTTTTTTTACAGAGAAGAAGAGAGAGGAACAGAGAGCTAGAAACATTGATGAGAGAGAAACATCGATCAGCTGCCTCCTGCACACCCACTACCTGGGATGTGCCCGCAACCAATGTACATGCCCTTGACTGGAATTGAACCTGGGACCTTTCAGTCCACAGACTGATGCTCTATCCACTGAGCCAAACCGGTTTTGGCTTTTATTTCTTTTTGACTATTTTTTTCTAATTTAAAAATTAAAAATGTAAAGTATAAAAAAAGTAGAATGATCTCTAATCTTGTGTTCAGAAATATTTAATGATAACATTTTAGACTATATACAGGGTGGGCAAAAGTCGGCTTAGAGTTACTTGTATGGAAAATCATAGTAATGAATAAATACAAGAATAAATTGTTTCGTGTGCTCACAACTGTAAACTAACTTTTGCCTCACCCTATATTTCCCTATATTCCTTTTTGTTAATGAGTATAGATAAAATGGAAATAAGTTTTTGTTCTTTTCCTCTTATAGATACTATGGATGGTAGGGAAGAAAAGCCTGCTGCTTCTGATTCTTCTGGAAAACAGTCTAATCAGGTTATGGCAGCAAGTATGTCAGCTTTTGATCCTTTAAAAAACCAAGATGAAATCAGTAAAAATGTCATGTCAGCGTTTGGCTTAACAGATGATCAGGTTTCAGGTAAGTTAGTTCCTTCCTCCCATTCTTCATTTGGTCTCTCTTTCCTTCCCTCCCTTTTCTTCTCTCATAGAAGGGTAATTTGGATATAGTGAGGTGCACAACTCTTAAGGTTCAGTAAATTTTACGTATGTATACACCTATATAAAATCCCAACTATATCAAGATGTAGGTGATTTCCAGCTTCCAGAAAACTTTCTCATATCCTCTCCCAATTAGTAGAAAACTCCTCTTCATAGAATAATCACTATTTAGTTTAGGTAAATTTTATCAAAAGTAGAAATCAGAAACCTTATTTTTAAAAAATAATATTGTTTCATGATTAAATTATTTACTTTCTTGGTCTCTCTTCTGATCAGAAATTAGAGAAATTTAAATGTACATTTCTGGCTAATTTGCTTTAGTGTAGAAAGTGCTTTTATATGAATATACTTTTTAAAATTATTTTTACTGATTTCAAAGAGGAAGGGAGAAGGAGAGAGAAACATCAGTGACAAGAGAGAATCATTGATTAGCTCCCTCCTGCATGCCCCCTACTGGGATCAAGCCTGAAACCCTGGCATGTGCCCTTAACTGGGAATTGAACTGTGACCTCCTGGTTCATAGGTCAATGCTTAATCGCTGAGCAACACTAGCCAGGCTATATGAATATTTTAAATCTTGTAACAACACCCATACTGTGTTTTCTTTTTTTATTTCTTCAACATTTTTTGCCTCTTTCTCTTGGGGTTCCACATGCATTGTGGAGCCTCTGAGTTTCATTCTCCCCCTCCTCTAATCCCCGCACTATTTTTTCTTACTATTTTTCAGTTGAGGCGATTTCTATTGAACTCTTTTCAAGTTCACTGGTTCTTTCTGTCATTTCCATTCTGCTATTGAACCTTTCTAGAGAATTTTCTTTTGCTTTTAGCTCTAGAGTTTCCATTTGGTTCTTTTTATAGTTTATTTTTTTCTGTTGAGATTCCTTACCTTTACATTCATTAAGATTATTTCATTTTAACTCATTTAATGTATTTTTACTTAGTTCTTCAAAAATATTTATTAACTCATTTAATGTATTTTTATTTAGTTCTTCAAAAATATTTATAATAGTAGCTTTGAAATGTTTGTCTGCTATATCTAACATCTGGGCCAATTTGAATCACATTCTTTTACAAACTACCTTTTTCCCCTGAGTATGGGCACATTTTTTCTAATATTTTGTATGCCTGATAGTGTTTAATTAAAAACTGGACATTGTGTTTAATATGTTGTAATGACTTAGCATTCTTTTCGGTTCTTTTGAGAATTTTTTTGTTTCTGTTTCTCTAGCAGATAGTTAACTTGTATGGACTCAGATTGCTCATTTTGTCTTCCCATAGCAGCTGACATCTCTGCTCAGTTCTTTCAGTTCTACGTGCTGCTTTTTTTCTGAGCTCTCTTGGCTGTCTCTGTCTCTTACTCCTAACTCTGGTCAGCTGGGAATTTGGGACTTGGTTTATACTCAGATTTTTGGTCTCACTCCTTTGTTGGTGGTCTCTCACTTTACAGATTTTGCCTTCAAATTTCTAGGTATTTGGCTAGTCACGAAGTTAATACTGTGGTTTCTCTTGGAGCTGTAGAAGTCAAGGCTTGCATTTCTTTCCCATTGTAATCCCATTGGGGGTAAATTCTGATTTCTGCAGACATTAGGTTGACTTTCAGTGATTTTAAATAGTTTTCTTTTATTTTGTTCAGGTTTTAGGTTACCTGTGGAAGGGTTTACCTAACTAGTTTACTTTGCTATTATTAACTAGAAATGTATGTTTAGTATGTTAATTTTATTTTCTTTGATACTTTTATGAGATTATTCACTAGAGAATTGTAAAATTCTGAAGAGACTCATATTTGTATGTGCTGTATGTTCTTGGCAAAAGAAGACTATAGGCAAATGACACAGCTGAAAAAACACATTTTTAAAGCAACTGAAATGAGTTAATATTACAGCTTTTTATATTTAAAACTTCAAGAAATGCCAGAGAGAGGAGTAAATAATTACATATGAGAGCAGTCTTAAATTTTTTATTAAAATATATTATGTGCCAGATTAGAATATTATGGTTAATACAATAACATTTGAAGACCATTTTTTCTGGTAGCTTTCTGTTGAAATACAAAAACTATACACATTGAAAAATATCAGAATACTTTGTAGTTATTCCAGTATGATGTGGTGAAAAACTCAGCAATAATGGTGAATGGACATAAGAAGGAGGGATGAAGTATTGCAGATTGAATAAAGTACCTTAATTATGTGCAAGGGAGAAAAAAGCAGTCAAAGTAATATATTTTTTAAGGATAATAACAGTGATTTTTGTAGAAGGGATGTGTATATGAATTTGTCTACATGTGTGTAGGTGTCAGTGAAACAGAGGAGCAATCAGCCATTTTACTCTGGAATCATCAGCTTCTTTTGTATTACCACTGCTGTTAGTCCTAGTTTAGGTTCTCATCAAATCTGGACTGTCAGCTGCCAACTGTGTGCCTAATACAGTGATAAGTTCTGGGATATACTAGTGCAAGGGTTAGGTGTTTGCCCTCAAGGAAATTAGTCTGCTGGCAGTAGCAAGCAAGTACTTATGTGGAGCTTTATAAGTGGTAATCCTAATATATAAAAACCCTGAGTCCGTCATGACCGGAAGCTCAAACAATCGGAAGTCAGTCCTGCTGTCAGCACTGGGTTATTGTGGTGACCCAGCACTGACTGCTATGGCTGCAGACTCAGTGACCCAGCACTCACTAACTGCAAATCAGGCCTGGAGAGAGGCCTGAAGAGAGAAGCAGGGTCTGATCCATAGCCTTTGTGGCAGCTGTCGATCAGCACTTGCCCCTCTCTTTCTCTCCAGGCCTGACCAACAGCCGCGCCTCCATTTCTCTCCAGGCCTCCACTGGGGCTGCTGATCAGCACTGCCTTTCTGATCAGGCCCTGTTGATAAGCCCAGAGATGCTGCCAGACATAGAAACCGACCAATCAGAACCAAGTCTGGGTGAATTGTGAGGAGTCATTGGCTGCCTAGGAGGTGGAGCTTTTTACACTGACTGGCATAGAAACCGACCAATCAAAACCAAATTGGTTGGCAGAGGAGGACAATTAGGAGTGAGATCAGGCCTGCAGGGGAGGGCAGTTAGGGGTGATCAGGCAGGCAGAGGCATTTAGGGGCTATAAAGCTGGCAGGAAAGAGCAGTTGGGGGCAATCAGGCAGGCAGGCAGAGAAGTTAGAGGTGTTCAGGCAGGCAGGCCGGCAGAGGGGTTTGGGGCAATCAGGCAGGCAGGCAGAGGCAGTTAGGGGCGATCAGGAAGGCAGGCAGGTGAGTGGATAGAAGCCAGTAGCCCCAGATTATGAGAGGGATGTCCCCCAAAGGACCCTCAATTGGAGAGGGTGCAGGCTGGGCTGAGGAGACACCCTCCATGCATGAATTTTGTGCACCGGGCCACTAATACTTTAATAAGCTCTTGCTAAATAATCACTTTTATAAACACTTGTAACTTATTCTTACAGAACCTTATGGAGTAGGAATTAGTATTAGTAGTGGAAATACTAGGATTTGACCCTAGACAGTCTGTTTCCAAAACCTGTGCTTTTAACCACTCCTATATTATCTAAACAAAAAAACTTCAAGGAGAAAACATATCACTAGTTGTCTTCAAAGTGCCTTTTTTGACTGTCACATTAATGTAACTTTAGTTTAATTTTCTCCATTTACTGCTTTGTTTATGATTTTGGAACAATATGAGTAGCTCCATGAATAAGAGAGGTAGGAGTCATGAGGCAGATGAAAAGATCACAAAGGAACCTGGTCAAGAGCTTTTAGTAAGGGAAGATGGAATCTACTCAAAAATGCAAAGCAGAAGTTGGTAAGAGTCATAATAAAAGTATCTCTATAGAAGTTCACAAGAGGAAAACGTATTTATGGATGTGTGGAAACGGGACAGTGGAGGGAATAGTGATAAATGAACTGGAGGCAGGAAAAATACATATATTGGTGGAATAGGGAATAGATTAGTTTGTTGAAGGAGGCATGTGAGAAGGAATTTAAATATCCTTAAATACCAAACCATAGGGTTGTATTTACTTTAATGGGCAGTGATGACCCATTAAAGAATGAAATTATACTTTTGGTTGACCTATGAACCAGATTGCATGATGTGGAGGACATGGGTATTGCAGAGATGAGTTTTGGTTTTTGCAGGGGGTGGTTACTATTCAGAAATACAGCTCTCTGCACTTTATAGGGAAGGATTTCCAGTTGTAGCTGTGGATTCTTGAGACTGGGGCAAAGGGAAAAAAAAAAAAAAAAAAAAAATATATATATATATATATATATATATATATATATATGCACACACACACACATTAAATGTAAAATCCTGCATTTATGTTTATTGTATAGTACTTTATTCTTAGTCTTTTTTAACCATGCTTGTGAATTGAAGTTGCTGGGGAATGGCCTTGCATTAGAAATTGAACTGACTTTTTATGACTACTCAGGGCCACCCAGTGCTCCTGCAGAAGACCGTTCAGGAACGCCTGACAGCATTGCTTCCTCCTCCTCCGCAGCTCATCCCCCCGGAGTTCAGCCACAGCAGCCACCGTACACAGGAGCTCAGACACAAGCAGGTCAGAGTGAAGGTGAAATAGAGCTTAGAGCACATGTGCAGGAAAGTGCACATGCAGAAATGTTTATTGCATTGTTTGTAATGGTGAATGCTTGTGTTCATGCTATGAACACAGATAGGAAAGATTTTGATTGACGAATATGGTATATTTTGAGGTTAAAAAAAAAAAAAAAAAAAAAAAAAACCACACCAAATAGAACAATATGTTATGTATGCTTCTGATTATTGAGAAAAAAAACAAAAAACCAAGAAAGCATTTATGTGAATAAAACACAAGGTGAAAGATCAGGAAGGATTCATAACAGTCAGTGGTGACCCTGGGGTATGTGATGACTCATTGAGGTGATACTTTTAATTTAGGTGCTACTTTCTTCTCCCTTCCCCCTATGCAACTGTGTATTACTTTTGTAATTTAAAAATATTTTTAAAATAGAAGCAAAGCATACGTAAGGGTAGTACTGCTAATAATGTCGAGGAAAAAAGTGTATTTTAAAATCAAACTTTATTTCTTTAAATGATGTGTGCTTGGGTGAGTAAATTTACTCTGTGGGTTTTGATATTCTCTCACTGTAAATTGTGAAAATTGGACTAAACCAGTAGTTTTAAAGGAAAATCTAATCATGAATGAAATTTGTAAGCTTAGTAATATTGTAAGCTTAGTATTACAATATTATGATAAAAAGGGGGTCATTGCCATATGTCAGTGATTTTTCAATCTTTTTTTTATCTCATGGCAAATATTTTTAGTAAACTAATTACTAAAATTCTTCAGCACATCAAGAAATAGATTTTTTGCTGACCTGACAAAAAATAAGTATAATTTTGATTGATTTACAGAAATTATAATGGTAGCAATTACCTATCATTTTTACTCCAAAGTGACTTTAAAATAAATTAGGTGCCCATATAATTTCTGGTACCAAGAATTAACCAGTCAGATGCAACCTTAATCTGTGATGTTACCAATAAGATGCAGCTGTATTATATGACATATATTTATGGTTCAAGATAGGGCATTCACACCAGATAGCTATTGTTGTGTTGGCTGTTGTCATTTTTTTATTTGACAGTCTATGGGAAAAGAGGTCATAGTCCTTGACTAAATAGTCAGGTATTGCATGTTTTTAAAAGTTCTTGTGGCACACTGGTTAAAAGTTGCTGCCATATGTGAGAGAAATTGAGGTGCCACAAGCTCAATTTATACCCTTGCAGCTCTGCAGATTGGCTACGTATATTAGTTTCTTCTTTTCCATCGTTTTTCTTTCTGTAGTTTGAGTTACCTGCAGTCAACTGTGGTCTGAAAATATTAAATGAAAATAAATAATTTGTAATTTTTAAATTAGGCACTGTTCTGAGTAGCAGGATGAAATCTTGAGCCATCCTAACTAGGGATATGAGTCATCCTTTTGTTCATTGTACCCACACTGTATAAGGTTATACCTATAATCCGTGTTACCACGCTGCTTTGTGTTCAAGTAACCCTTATTTTATTTAATAATGGCCCCCAAGCCAGAGCTGGATTTGGAGCCTAGTCTCCTGCTAGGGCTCCTTCGGGGGTGGGTGTTGTACACTAGGAAGTATCCACTAGCTAAGCCACCCTGGGCCCTCTCCACTAGCCTCTAGAATGGTCCAGCAGGACTGGATGGCCCCCCTTTGGCCAGAAGCTGCACTGGGAGTAGGTTGTACCCCATCTCCTGGGGTCCTGCAGGCCATGCAGCCCCTTCCCCCCTCTCCCCTCTCCTCTCTCCCAGGGCCCATCTCCCACCTGAGCCCATCCCCCTCAGCAAGTTGGGGCCTTATGTGTCCAGTGGCACCCTGAGACCAGAGCAGTGGAAACAAAGCCTGGCCCCGGCCCCAGGTATGGGCCTCTCATTCTGGGAATGGCCCATCTTGGACCCATGGAGCTGAGGGAGCCGTTTCCTCCTCACCAGGGCTCCCTCTGTACTGTGGGAAGGCCTGTGCTGCCCGCTCCTTTCTGCCCCCCCCCCCCCATCCCTGGACTGGACAATAAAGAATTTAAACTAAAAAAAAAAAAAAAAAAAAAAAAAAAAAAAATAATAATAATAATAATAATAATAATAATGGCCCCCAAACCATTCCCATAACTTTCATTCCAGTATATAATCATATTTGTTCTATTTTTTTATTATTTATTAATCTCTTATTGTGCCTAATTTATAAATTAAACTATAGTATAGGTATGCATAGAAAAAACATGATTACTAAATATATAGTTGGGTACTATCCATGGTTCAGGTATCCATTTGGAACATATTCCTAGTAGATAAGTGGGTGAGGATTATTGTAGTTGCTGATCGAGCTACTGATCTCTAGGGTGCCTTCCAGATATTTAAATGTTGGTTCTGTGAATTGCCCATACATAAAAGGACCTTTAAAAGTATACATTTCACTTTAAAACAAACACTAGGTGGTGCTCTAACCATTTATATAAAGGGGCCATGTGGTGGTTAGATGTATTTTCAGCAACAGAAGCAAGTGAGTGCTGGCTGCCTGCTGCACTTCAGTTACAGTTTAAGTGGCACTGGATGCTGCATTGACTTTTTTTAATAGTTGTCTCTTTCTGCCAAAGTATGCTATTTTACCATAGTCTTTTAAAGTATGTTTTTACTGATTTTTAGAGAGAGAGGAAGGGAGAGGGACAGAGAGATGGAAACATGGATGAGAGAGAAACATCTATCAGCTACCTCCTGCATGCCCCCCACTGGGGATTGAGCCCACAACCAGGGCATGTGCCCTGACCGTAATCGAACCAGCAAACTCTTGGTGCAATAGCTACACTAGCCAAGCTACTCTCAGTCTTTTGATCAACATTAAATAGTTTGAATATTTTTGAAAGACATAAAAATTTAAGGATTTAAATACTAGCTAGATATTAAAACGAGAGCTATTATTGCTACTGTAGGCATTAGATTGAGATAAATCCACTGTTAGAACAACTGTAAAGTGGTAAAGATGATAAAGACATGAATCAAGAAGACCTTGCTTGTTTGGAAGTCACAGGTAATAAAAGTGCCTGAAGGGTTTCTCTGTAGAAACTTGTCTACTGACATAAATAGTACTCTCATTTTCAAGTACACATCCCCAGTGTTAAGCACATCTACCATAATTAAAAAGTTCAATAAGGAACTATTTACACTTTATCAGATTCCATGTGATTGGCTAGGATCTTCAGATGATGGAAAAGTGAACTGTTGTCAAAATGCCAAAGGTGTCTTTGAGGTCTGGAATGAAAGATACCATGTAATTCCTTGCTACCAAAGAGTCCATTCATATGGTAACCAAAAAAAGTTCAAACCTTTAGATGAGAAATATAGTGTTTTAGGAAAGATTTGAGTGCTATTAATGGTGTGTGTCTCTAGATTTTAAAAAAAAATTTTTTTGATTTTTTTATAGAGAGGAAGGGAAAGGGATAGAGAATTAAAAATATCTTTCAGAGAGAAACATTGATCAGCTGCCTCCTGCACACCTCCTGCTGGAGATGTGCCCACAACCAAGGTACATTCCCTTGGTTGGAATTGAACCTGGGACCTTTCAGTCTGCAAGCCGACGCCTCTATCCACTGAGCCAAACTGTCCAGGGCATGTTTTTTGACTCTCTTGATTTTTATTGAGCATTAGCAGTACATACCTGTTGGCAGTTGGGTTTGATACACTTATTAAGTTGTCCATTACATTTTTAAATGTCTATTCATTGACATTTAAAGGGGAACAAACATTCTTCTGTCTTTGTTACTCAGTATGTTTATGTGTTTGGATGGGCAGAGAATTAAATGTGCCTTAAAGGTATTGTTTTTCTACTGAGTTAAACTTGCCTCTTTTTTTCTTTTCTTTTTTAGGTCAGATGTATCAACAGTACCCACAGCAGGCTGGTTATGGTGCTCAGCAGCCACAGGCACCACCTCAGCCAGCACAGCAGTATGGCATTCAGTATTCAGGTGAGCAGGTGTCCATAAGGATCTGGCTCATGGTTTTTGAGCTCTTACTATACTCACTAAACATTAACCCTTTGCTCTTAATTCCTTGATTTGTAATACTTACATTGTCATAGCAGGTAGTATTTACTTATTAGGGAAATAACATTTTTTTTATTTATTTACAAATATTTTGTATAAATATTTTATTGTAAATCAACATTTCAATTTTTCAGTGGTTGAGTAAAACAGTCATAGTAGATGATTCTCTAATAACTTGTTGTTCAAAAAGTTTTTAATAAAAAGCTATCTCCTTCTGATGTGATCAGCTTATCCTTAGGTAACTTAGAATTGCAAAAATGCAAGTTTTTTTCACTTCATTAATGTAACTCATAATCCCAGTATACTCTTAGTGTCTGTAAAAATATTAATACTCATAGTTCCTTCATATATGGAAAGGTGATCTTAAAAGAGGGTGGGAAAAAGTTGGCTTACCATGGTTTGTGTGGAATAGACATGCAGGTTATGATTATTATAATAGCTTTATTATTTACAACTATAAACCTACTTTTGTCCAGCCCTGTAAATAAGAAGCAAATTAAGCTACTTAGGTTTTTAAATTTCTCCAAAGTATGTAGGAGTACCAGAAACAGGTTAAAAAAAAAAAAAATTAGGCCGGGATCGGTTTGGCTCAATGGATAGAGTGTCGGCCTGCGGACTGAAAGGTCCCGGGTTCGATTCCGGTCGAGGGCATGTACCTTGGTTGCGGGCACATCCCCAGTAGGGGGTGTGCAAGAGGCAGCTGATCAATGATTCTCTCATTGATGTTTCTAACTCTCTATCCCTCTCTCTTCCTCTCTGTGAAAAAATCAATAAAATATATTGAAAAAAATTAGAATTGTGTAAAACTTAATTCAGCAATTAAGAACATTAAATATAGTTGTTTTGAATATAGTGATTATAACAATTTAGTTAATTTTTATGTTTACTAGAGAGTTCGTGTTCAACTCTTATTTTACAATGAAACATTTAAGTGTCAAATTTCAACTACAGTTTATCTAAATCTTGCCTAATTTCTATTTTATGGAGTTTGTAGTAAAAAGTAAAGTAGGAGTCAGCAAACTTGAAACCATAGGCCAAATATGACTTTTTGCCAATTTTTGTGAATAAAGTTTTACTTGAACACATTGCGCTCATTCATTATTATACTGCCTGTTGGTGCTTTGGCATTACAATTGCAGAGTTGAGTAGTTGCAACAGAGATCATCCTATATAATAAAAGCCTAATATGCTAAATGTCCAGTCATCTGATCATCTATTCAACCAATCAAAATGTAATATGTTAATGATATGCTAAGGCTGCTCAACTGCTTCCTATGACATGCACTGATCACCAGGGGGCAGATGGTAGGTTAGCTTGCTGCTGGGTCCGGCTGATTGTGACTGAGCGAGATTTGCCAGACACACCCTGGAGCCCTCCCGCAGTCCCTACCCTTCTGGCCAATTTCCCACGTCCTCCCCAGCCCAATCATGCACCAGTGGGGTCTCTTGACCTGGCCTGTGCCTTCTTGCAATCTAGGACCCCTTGGGGAATGTCAGAGAGCCAGTTTTGGCCTGATCCCTCAGGCCAGGCCAAGGGTCTTCACTGACACACAAATTTGTGCACCAGGCCTCTAGAATATTGACTAGCCCTTTACAGAAAAAAAAGCTTGCCTGTCCCTGAACTAGACTATAAAATTCTATCATTAAGTGCAGTTTGACATATCTTAACACTGCAATTTTTATTTGGATTGTATTTGCTGTATAGTGATTTAAATGGTAGCTGCTAGTTTTTAATTATATAAAATAGGTGGAATGAATTTAAATTTAGATTATGATATTTGAGGGGAGGTTAGTTTTAGGATGCAAGTCCTTAAAAATTAAAGAAAAATCAAAATGTTACAAATTATGTAATTTGTAGAAATCTCAAGAGTTTTAGGAGAGCTTTTCTTAAACATTACAGACACCTGGGCCCTCCTCCAAGATATTTTGTTCATTTAGTTTGTGGGACTCAGGTTTTGATATTTTGGAAGCATTGCAGGTCATTCTAAAGTCAGCAAGGTTGAGACCACTGATTTTGTCCCACCCACTCCTGTTATAAATGAGGCAACTAGGGTTGGGAGTAGTTGTGGTGCATTGAAGGACATGCAGCCATTCAGTTGAGTTGCTAGATAAGAACCCAGTGCATTTGACTTTCCAGTTAATTACTTCCCTATGTCATTCTGCATTCTCAAACCAAGCTAGGGGTTGGCAGACTTTTCTGTCAAAAAAGGCTAGATAGTAAATATTTTAGGCTTTATGGACTATATGATCCTATTTTATTTGTTCAAAACAATTTTCATTTCTTAAGATTTTTGGTTTTTTCATCACAGTTACTTATTTTTTTAAGGGAGGTATCGTGGTTTGAGGGAAATAATACATATAATTTGGAAGTATTGTCAAAGACTCCACTACCGTGTTTCCCCGAAAATAAAACATCCTCAGAAAATAAGACCTACTTACAGGTTTCCTTCTGAGTGAAATATAAGGCATTCCCCGAAAATAAGGCCCCCCAGGCTCTGTCTCAGAATGAAAATTAATTTACCATAAACTGGTCGCTAGGGCCGCCCCGACTGGCGTCTAGCAACCAGTGACTTTACGCGGAGTCCTGACATCACTGCTGTGTGGAGGCGGAGCGGAGGTCAGAGTGAGCGGTGAGCTCGGGGCGGGAGAGAGGAGGAGACATTCGCAGATGCGTGTACAAGAACAGGAGGATTAGCGCGGCAAAGGTGGTGAGTGCTGGTCTGTCTCTGGTGACACTACCTGATACTCGCAGCCGCCCTCATGATGACTGAAGGTTCTCAGTCAGTGACAGACCCTGCTCCAGCCCTGATCCAGGCCCCAGCAAGCCCAGTGACAGTCCCCAGGCAGGCCCCAGGGGGTAAATGTCTGATAAAGGGAGAGGGGGAATGTCTGGTGAAGGTGTTCAGTGGCACAGGGGTTCTGGGAGGGGGATCACTTAAAATGACACAGGAGGATCAGAGGGAGCAATCAAAATGACACAGGAGGATCAAAAGGGGTTACTAAAATGGTAATCCCCCCCTCTGATTCTCCTGTGCCATTTTGATTCTCCCTCTGATCTCCCGTGTTATTTTAAGTGATCCCCCTCACCCCACCTTGATACCCCAGTTCCTTTTTTTTAACCCCTAGAAATGAGCGCAAAAAGAAAAAGCTACTCCGTGGAGTACAAGAAAGAATTGTGGAAGACTCTTGGGGCCAAAATCTTACTGCTTTCTGCAAAGAGAAGATGTTGAGTATCCGATTGGTCCAAAAATGGCGAGCAGAGTATGGTAACCTCATTGAACAAGTGGACGAGGGAAATGCTAAAAAGCACAAGTGTGGATCAGGTCGGCAACCATTATTTTCTGAGCTGGAAGACCTGATCTGTGAATGGGTTGTTGACAGGAGAGCAAAAGCATTGGTTGTGAATAGGGCTCAGATTCACGAATTTGCCCTTGCAATGGCATCACAGTTTGACATAGCCCCCGAAGACTTCAAAGCATCACAACACTGGCTGGATAATTTCCTTCAGCGAAGTGAACTGTCTTTAAGAAGATCTACAACATTGTTTAGGTTGGAAGATACTCAAGTTATTAAGTGAGCACTTGCATTCAAGTCCTTTATTGATGATGCCGACTTCTCTAAATACAATCTTTCCAACATGATTGCTATGGATGAAACTGCAGTGTTTATGGGTCAATCATCTCAAACAATTGAACAGCAGGGTGCCTCCTTAATGTACATTCCCTCCACTGCTTATGAAAGTGTACGTGTTTCCTGTATTTTGGCTATTCGTCTGGATGGCACTAAAATCCCACCTTTAATCATTTCTAAGGGCAAGAAGGAAAAGATTTAACGTGTTTTGGGTGTTTTTATTCTTGAAACTGAAAAAGCCTGGGCCACACAAGCAGTTATAAGGAAGTGGGTCGATTTAATGCTGCTGCTTGTTATGCGAGGGAGCCAAAGAGGTCTGCTAGTCTGGGATGCAGCCAGCACTCACTGCGCTAAAGACATGAAGACATTTCTTCACGAAAGAAAAATAGATCAGATAATGATTCCCGCAGGAATGACGGCCTATCTCCACACTCTTGATATTGCAATAAAGAAGCCATTCAAAGACAATTTGCGCATGGAAATTAATGACTACATTGAAAATAGAATGGAGAGAAATCAGCGTGGAAACTTTTTGAAACCTAAACTGCAGGAAGTTGTGACTTGGGTGAAGAACTCATGGGAGAAAATCACTGACAGTTGCATTGCAAATGCACTGCGAGCAGGCTACCTTGACAAGAAGTACTCATTTAAAGACAGTGATATTGCTAAACATGAGAGATTTGGTCCACTGATTCTGAAAGAAATGGAGTCACAAAAATTCACCAGGAAATTCAGGCTTTGGATTGTTATGATGATGTTCCAGAAGATGATGACATGATTGTCATTGAATAAATGAGTAAATTCTTGATACTGTAGGATTCACAGTTTGTCTGGTTTGTGTTGACAACTACCATACTACCGTACCGTATACAGATAATAAATTTCCTTTATTTTCATTTAACAATAAATGTGTACCATATTCTTCATGGAAAAATAAGACATCCCCTGAAAATAAGACTTAGCGCATCTTTGGGAGCAAAAATTAATATAAGACACTGTCTTATTTTCGGGGAAACAGGGTAGTTTGCTAATGAAAATGGCATCTTAGGCCCCTATGGGTCAATCTCTCTCTTAAGAGATCATCAAGGATCCAGTTGTTTCCAGACTCCTTAGTGAAAAAGCCAGTTTAGATTTTTTTTTTTCATTTTTGCCAGGATGAAAAGGCAGGTTTTTTTGTTTGTTTGTTTTAATTTTTTTGTTGTTTACGGTGTTAAGTTGACTAGACCTTTTCAGTATAAAAGTTGAGTCCGTCTGTTTCTCCATAATCTTACAGTAAAAAATTTAAGTTAAAAAATTTTATGTAGAAGATAGGAGAAACTGAATGACACTCAATATTTGATCACGAATTAACTTTAGTTCAGTATTTAGAAAATATAAGTAAAATGCATTAGTTATTTGATTTAGTTATTAAAAATTAAGCTTGCTTTTAATGATTTTAGTCAGGGTCTCCACTCTGAGTAAAATTTAGCTTTTTTGAAATTGTCTTTGTATTTCTGATCCCACTAGTCCTATTAATATGAATTTGATTGGGAGATATGGGAATAGTCAACTGAATACTCTGCTTGGAGACTAAGTGGTGGTGGTAGCATTGGACCATTTTTGACACTGTTGGTTTGCCAGTTTCCCTCTGACCTTTTTCCAGTTTTATTCATGGACTATGTCAAAAGGTTTCTTTCATGAGTAAATTTTGAACCCAGGTTAAAGGTGAGTTCAGAATATACACAAATTCATTCAGTCCTTTTTTTTCCCAAACGTACATATTTTAATAATTTTCTTATGTATCTGGTATTTAATGCTGACAGGATTCCAGTCAATGGAGAGGTTTCATTGCAAGTAGCTGCAGGTGTGTTTCATGGTAGAGATAAAAGTTTTTAGTGAAGCAGACTTTTTCTTTTAAAAAAAATTTATATCCTTAGTAAATAATGAATATAGATGTTGCTTTTGTGGGGCAATAGGGTATGCTTTTTGTGTATGATGTTATTACTGCTAAATTGTAATATTGAGTTGTATAGGCAAAAAAACACATCAGATACCAAATTTTTAAAAAGTGAAAATATTAAGGGTTGTGAAGATGGGTACTTAATATTTATTCTTAAATAGTTTTTATAGAGTGACTAAACCTTTAAAGCATGTCAATAGCACATTTAGATGTATTTGTAGTACCATTGTTTCATTTTAAAATATTAATTCTCTAACGTGTTTTTATTTGGTACTGTTGGCCTTCCCTCAAAACCAGACTAATGACTAAGTTTCTGCGTTAATTCTGCCCTTTATCATTTGAGCATCTACTCTATACTAGGAATTATACTCTCATGGATTATATAGTGCAGAAGCAGTTGGTAGTGAAGAAATATGTGTATACAGGTTTCAATTTAAGATGAGTGAATTTTAAAAATGTTAAGAAAAATTTTGATGTCAGTCTGGAAATAAGATTATACGGTAGAATCTACTACCTTACTTGTTATATAAATACTTAGGATTTCTCATCATTTTTGGTCCATAACAGTAAAGGCTATTTCTCTGGAAAATTTTAATCAATAGACAAAGATAGTATATACATTCTTTATTTTGCCTTTTCAGCAGGCTATAGTCAGCAGACTGGACCCCAGCAACCTCAGCAGTACCAAGGATATGGCCAGCAAGCAACTTCCCAGGCACAAGCTGCTGCATTTTCTGGTCAGCCTCAACAACTGCCTGCTCAACAGCCACAGCAGTTCCAGGCGAGCAGTTACCCTCCACATACTTACGCCACCCAAACTTCTCAGCCTACTAATTACACTGTGGCCCCTGCCTCACAACCTGGAATGGCTCCAAGCCAGGCCGCAGCCTATCAACCAAGACCAGGTTTTACTCAGTCTGCAAGTACCATAACCCCTCCTCCAAGTGGGGCTAACCCTTATGCACGTAACCGTCCTCCCTTTGGTCAGGGCTATACTCAACCTGGACCTGGTTATCGATAAAGAGGCTCAGCTACATTGATGAAATGTAGCTGCTACCTATTTGCCTCCCAAAAGACTCCAATACTGTTATTTTAATTTGTATTGAAGTTCAGAAATTTAAAAAGCAGAGCATTTTTTATGGTATCATTGTTGCTGTTAATTGAGAGTATAACTGCTAGAACACAACAAAAGACCAAAATGAAAATTATTTCCTCCCCTGCTTAAAATTGTAGCAGCTTCCTAGTAATTTTGGAACACTACTCTATGTGTGTTAAAGTGATTGACTTTCTGGCTTGCCTTGTCCAGAGGTTATTAAAATGCTAGGTTGAAATTTAGCCATCTCATTTGGCTTTGTACTATTAACATGGTGTACTAAAAATAGATCTCTTTGAAAAGACAACTAGATATTATGTATAAAATGTAATAACATTGATAGGTTAATAAAGATGATTGAATCAATTAGTGGTCTTGTAGTTTAATTTAATCACTAAAATTATATATTCACTAGTGGCCCAGTTCACAAAATTCGTGCATAGGAATTAGGGGGAGTTTTGGTGGTGGTGGTGGGGAGGTGGGGCGGTGTCCCTCAGTCCAGCCTGCATCCTTTCCAATCTGGGACCTTTCGAAAGATGTCCTACTGTCAGTTTACAGGGATCAGGCCTAAACCAGCAGTCGGACATCCCTTTCTCAATCTGGGACTGCTGGCTCCAAACCTCTCGCTTGCCTGCCTGCTTGATTGCCCCTAACCACTCTGCCTGCCCACCTTTTGCCATCAGCCTGATCACCCCCAACTGCCCCTCATGCCAGCGTGCTTGCCCCCAAATGCCCTCATTGCCAGCTTGCTCGCCCCCAACTGCCTCCCCTGCTGGCCTGCTCGCCCCAGACTGTCCCCTCCCTCCCCCCCGCCCCGTCTTGATCACCTTCAACTGACTCCCACTGATGACCAGCTTGTTTCCAACTGCTCCCTGCTAGTCTATTCATCCCCAACTGCCCCCTCCTCCTCCCCCCCCCCCCCAGCCTGATCACCCACAACTGCCCTCCCCTCTTGGCCTTTAACCACCTCATCCATGGACCTGCCACTATGGCTTTGTTCGGAAGAATGTCCTGAAGGTCTTCCAGTCTAATTAGCATGTTACTGTTTTATTAGTTTAGAGGCCTGGTGCACAGGAGGGGGCTGGCTGGTTTGCCCTGGATCAGAGTGGGGGTTCCCTTGGGACATGGGGCAGCCTGGGGGAGGGACTTATGTTGGTTTGTAGGCCGGCCACGCCTCCATGGGGTGAGGTTCCCTGCTGGGGGGCATGGCCAGCCTGGGTGAAGGGCTGAGAGCTGTTTTCAAGCTGGCCACACTCCCATCAGGATGGGGGTTCCTCTTGGGGTGCCTGGTCAGCCTGAGTGAGGGGCTGATGGCTGTTTGCAGGCTGGCCACACCCCCTTCAGGGTGGGAGTCCCCAAAGTATAGATGATTTAACTTAGAACAGTTTCTATTCAGAGAAACTTATTTTTTTTTTAAATATATTTTTAATGATTTTTTTACAGTGAGGAAGGGAGAGAGATAGAGAGTTAGAAACGTCGATGAGAGAGAAACACCACCAGCTGCCTCTTGCACACCCCCTACTGGGGATGTGCCCGCAACCAACGTACATGCCTCTGACCAGAATCGAACCTGGGACCTTTCAGTCCGCAGACCGACACTCTACCACTGAGCCAAACCGGTTTCGACGAGAAACTGATTTTTGCATGTCTTGAAAGAAATGCATTTAACAATAATTGGCTTAAAACAGTGAAACTTTAAAATTGATGTCATAGGAAGATAGATTAGCAATAATACATAAACACAGTAGATACAGTATTAAAAGATACAAGGGGGTTTTGGTAGATCCTGAATAACTGTAATTTTCCTTATAGAGATGAACCATTCAGAAATAAATAACTCAGCCTTAAAAAAACACTAATCTCTTTATTGCAGTTTCTACTTGTTTGAAAAGTACAGAGTGTAGCATTGATAAAATTGAAGCATGTTGAAATGGTCCTCTCAGAATGAGGGCAACAATATAGCATTCCCACCTCCCTCTCCAAATGGGGGAAATACCTTTTTAAATAAAAATGGGTCTGAGTAAGTTCAGGTTAAGTTGGACTATGAAAACATCTTCTGAAACATTCATTCCTACGAGTCTTATGTGTAAAAATATAGTAAATAGTCTGTAAAATGGTAGTGATCTCATATGTTATCTTTTTGTGTTCAGACTTCACATTCAGTTTCCTCATACAACTTGTTTAGAATTATATTAAAAACAATACAAAGACAGTTGCTTGAAGGGATAGTTTGACAAAGTATATTCAGATATTATAATATATAATTATGAGTATAGTAAGAAAATGTATTTTTGAAACTGTCATTCTCAATTCTATTTTTAGCTGAAATGAAATTTGCTTATTGAAAACTGAACCTTTTTAATAATTTACAGATATTTGAGGAAATGTATATTCACATGAATGTTTATTTAAACATTCAGAAAAGATATTCAACTATTGCTAAAAAAAACCCTGTTTAAGTAAACATGTGAATATTACCCCCAGATATATATGCTGAAGTTAATCTGATCTAATAAGTTAAACCAAAGAGAGATTTATGGAATTAACTCACCAGTAGGAAGAATACACATTAATAAAAGTAAACATTTTTAAAAAGTATATTAGTTTTTGATGTTAATTTTGTTATAAAAGTATCTCAAAACATTACAACATTGTGATAAATAATATACAAAACAATCTCTTAAAATACCATGAATAGGGAGCCAGCTTCCCCAGAAAAATGTTACTCTGTTAATACCTTGCTTTATTAAAATGATTTTTTAAAACCTGATAAATATTCTCAGCAATTTTTCTAATAAACATCTAATATTGCAATCAATTAGATTTCAAACTTTTATACATAGTAAACAGAACAGCTTTTCATGGACATGACAAATACCATAGTGTGTGCAATTATTTTTTGCCACGATGAAACAAAGCACTTGTGAACACGATTACAGCATCTACCATTTTCCAGGAATTGTGGTTCCACATTCATACCACTGAACGTAATTGATTTGGGTGTGACCACCAATTTCTCCAAATTGGACAGGTTCCTGGCGAACTGCTCTGAAATAGCCTACAAGGGAAAATTAGTTATAAAAATTGCAATGATATATTATGTGCCTTCTTTGCTCATAGATTGAATGGCTGAAAGTTACTCTCCATGAAGTATTTTAGAAATGGAGAGCAGCAGAGGCCATGAAATCTTTCCTGAGGTAGAAACTGGGGCTAAACATCAGGAGCATCTGTAACTCCTTAACAAAGCATGGGACTGCTGGTAGTATATAGGAAACAAAGCTGGAAAGGAGCAGGAGTCAGAGGAGTTGTGTGTTTTTGAGTGTCATTGAGCACATCTACACTCTGTCTTATGTGAAAGTGTACTTTATTTATTTATTTATTTTAATATATTTTATTGATTTTGTACAGAGAGGAAGGGAGAGAGATAGAGAGCTAGAAACATCGATGAGAGAGAGTCATCGATCAGCTGCCTTTTGCACACCCCGCAATGGGGATATACGCGCAACCAAGGTACATGCCCTTGACCGGAATTGAACCCGGGTCCCTTCAGTCCCCAAGCCAACGCTCTATCCATTGAGCCAAACCGGTTTCGGCTGAAAAGTGTACTTTCTGCACATTACAGACCTATGGTGTTCTATGAAGAACTGACCTGAGTAATGGTGCTATGTGTATTTACCACTGTGTTAAGAAACAAAGGTAGTATGTATCAAGCTTGCTAAATTTCTAAGAATTAAACTTAGGTGGAATCTTCAATGACTCTATACTAAATGAGTAAAACTTTTGAAATTTCTCTGTGAATGTAAAACGTAGAAATATACAAAATTTATAGTATGTTTATATCTAATCCCTATGAGACACCAGTTTCAACTTGTTTCATGGGTTCACAGATCCTATCAAGGCATCTTTTCATGGTGCCAGTGAACAAAATATGTTGCTGAAAAGACAAGTTAAGTGATTTAAGATATCTAATGAACTTCTTGGTGATTCCCAAGTAATATGGACTTTTAATTTACCCTCTCCTACCTTGCCTGTACAACAAGTAAATTAATTTTCATCTTTTTAATCTTCATTAAGCACCTTAGTGCTAATGTGTCTTCAGCATTACCATGGTTATACATTTTTTAACATAATAGTTTTATTTTAACTGAACTTATATAATGAAGGCTAATAGTACTGTTTTTCCATTTGTGGTAGTCTGTCCTTAAAATTTTTTTAAGGGAATAAAAAAATGCCTATGTGCTCAGTATTGACAAAAAACATAAAGGTAATATATGAATGATTTAAGTTTAGGAAACATGCTTTTATTCAGGTTTCCTTGAAGTAGAATACATTTGTCTGTAGCTTTCCTTGGTCCTAAGGAATATAGTCTTAGGGACTGGGAGGAAAGTTGAGAAACTTCCATTAAATAAGGCCTTTTAACAGTTTTTTTTTTTTCTTTCTTTCTAGCTAGATAATTATAACAGTGCTAGCATAGAATTATTTTTAAAGTGATTGCTTTCCTCAGCTTGAATTCTTTTTGGGTCAATTTATAAAACCTTGCTTTTGAGGAAGCTCAGAAAACATACCTTGTTTTGTGGGTAACTGCTCAGAAGTCAATTGCTGCCCTGTGTGTCCATCTAAAAACGAGTCCACAAATTGGCAGTGATCTTCTCCATGGCCTCTCTGATCGCCTATGTTATAAAACTTTCCTGAAGAACCAAAAATTAAAAGGATCGTAAAATGTTACTTACTTTGATATGAGACCATCTATCTACACTAATAAAAGAGAAACATGCAAATTAATCATCACTCTGCTACACCCACCAGCCAATCAGGAGAAAATATGCAAATTAGAAGGGGGGAAAATGGTGGCTGCCTAGCTGCTCCACACATGTGGAGCGGCTGGGCAGGGCAGGATACCTGTTATGAGAGGGAGGGCAGGGAGCAAAGGGATCTACAGGAGCGACACTCTGGGCACGGTGAAGATGAAGATGTCAGACTGACTCCAGAGTCTGCCTGATGTGAGCAAAAGCCTGGATCCCAAGGTGCCGGAGGAAAACCCGTGCTGGAAGCCAAGGGTAGGAAGGCCTATTGCACGAATCTCTTCGTGCAACGGGCCTCTAGTCTATATATATAAAATCCTAAGCAACTAGACAACTGGCTGGTAGCTATGTTGTGCACTGACCACCAGGGGGAAGATTCTTAATGCAGGGGCTGCCCCCTGGTGGTTAGTGCCCTCCCACAGTGGGAGCGCCAGATGCTGGGCTCATGGCTGGTGAGCATAGCTGCCTGTGGTGGCATGAGCCTCTGCTCTCTCCCCAGCAGCTTGCTACCAAGTTTTGGCAGTAGGCGCAGAGGGGCCGGGATGAACAGGAGCTGCGCAGCATTCAGCCCGGGCTCCTCCCCAGCCACCTGACCTGTAGGGACAGGGCCAAAACCGGCAGTCTGACATCCCCCAAGGGTCCCAGATTGCAAGAGGGTGCAGGCCAGGCTGAGGGACTACACCAGTGCATGAATGCACCAGGCCTCTAGTTCTGAAATAATCACATTGTTCCAAATAATCATTCTTTCCTGATCTTGTACTTTCCCCTACTCTTACCCTAGTTCAAGCCATCAGCGCCCTTTGAACTATGAAATGGTCTGCCAGCTGACATTCCTGTTTTTCCTTTTGCTTCCATTCTTTTCCCCTTCCTCTCATATCCTGCATATTTTAAAAATGCTACTCAGGCCGAAACTGGTTTGACTCAGTGGTAGAGCGTCGGTCTGTGAACTGAAAGGTCCCAGGTTCGATTACGGTCAGGGGCATGTACGTTGGTTATGGGCACATTCCCGGTAGGGGGTGTGCGAGAGGCAGCTGGTCAGTGTTTCTCATCAATGTTTCTAGCTCTCTATCTCTTTCCCTTCCTCTCTGTAAAAAAATCAATAAAAATATATTTTAAAAAAATGCTACTTAGATGTTACTCCCATAAATCTCTCCAGCAACCTCCTATTGTACTCAGAAGAAAACACAAAGTCTCACATGATTTCACACCTGCCTGCCTTGTCTTCCTCTTACTAAGCCTCAGCCACACAGGGAACTGGCTATGCGTGTTCTGCCATAGGCCTTTGAGTTTCTCTTCCTCCATCTCTGCTTTCCCATAGATCTTTGCTTGGTTGGTGCCTTCTCATAGTTTTCCTTCTAGCACAGTGTTATCTTTTCAGAGAGGCTTTTCCTAACACATAATTAAAGGAGTTTTCATTAAGCTATTTTGTTCCATTCTTTTTTTTTTTTTCCAAAGCACTATAACTTGTAAGTTACAAGAAGGCTTGCTTGTGTCTTGTTTGCTGTTTTGTCCCTAGCACTGAATAAAGCAGACACTACTTGTTGAATAATTGAATAAATGTCTGTCTTTCTAAGCCTTATTTAAATTTTTTACTGTAGGAGTATAGAAGAGAAAATAAGCTGCTGAGTCTGGAGCAAGGGGGTACATAGCCTTTCCAACCAGTAGTTATAATCTTGATCTTGTCATTATCAGACTAAAAATTTGATTGTCTTATTCCTCCCAGGAGTACTGTTAGATATACCCATTTTATTATCAGTAAGGTTTTTATCCTTGGTTGGCTGTAACAAAATTGAGCTTAAATGTGGCTAGTGTCTTTACATGCAAGTTTGCCATGATGGCACTGTTCAAATTGCATTTTCATTGTTTACCTTCTAATAGCATGTCTCAAGTCCTTGTTTTCTAGGCTATCTCAATAACATCTTACTCAAAAAGAAAAATTGTATCTACATCAGACCTTAGTTTCTGTCCAAAGAAAAGGCCAAGTTTTACAGAATGTTGCAAAGCATTCCCTGGAAGATAAGACTCAAAACAGTAGGTAGTCTTGCTTACCTGCGAGGGAGTCGCTCAGATAAATCTTGTATCTGAGAGAGTTGCATAGCTGCACCCCTACAAACTTTTTATACCAAGTCCTTTTGACATATTGTTTGCCTTTACATTCTGAGTAAGAGTCTGAATCAAAGGGTCTTTCTGTCCAGATGGCATCTCTTCCTCCTGCATCAGGAAAACGTAAGATTTGAGTTCAGTATCTGATTTTGGTGCTGAAGAGTTGTCCTAAAAGCTTTAAAAAACAAACAAACAAACAAACAAACAAAAACAGTTTGCAAAGTTCACTGTCAATTTGTTGACAGCTGGCTTTCTCCAATGCTAAATATTGGAGCCAAAAATATTATAGGAGTTTAAACACATAAGGCCCCACTTAAGTTCCTGTCAATAGTGATAAAGCTGTAGAGGTGTGTTTTCAGGTGTTGAAGAGCCTTTGCAGTGCTGGATGTAGACAGCATCCTGAGGGAATTCAGGGTTTGTTTTGTATTGCAGCACATACAATTTAAACAGCCGCTCTAATGTGACTTGCTATTAAAAGTGGAAATGAGGTTCTTATATCTTGACAGTTATACAAAAAATTTGGTACATGAATGAAAGCAAGCTTCAAAACATCCAACTTGTTCCTAAAACACCATAGACTCTCGTTGAAATTGAGTGTTTTGGATACTCATTCACATCTGATTGATATCATGACTTAACTTTCTGCCATGTCTGTTAGTTGAATCAGTTTAGAGAAGCATGTAGTTATGTTCACATCGAGGCAGGTACTTACCAGAAACTGGCTCACTCACTCTCGGATCCGCTGAGGAGAAATAGCAACAGAGTCAGAAGTTATTAAGTAGGTCTCATTGTTCCAGTGGTACAGTGAAGAAGGTGGGTGCTTACAGTAAAGAAATTTTCCCCACAAAATAGTTTACTCTTTCTAAAACGAAATTGGAAAGTATGTGGGTGTTGTTTAGGAAATCGTTCTCAATTGGAAATCTGCCAGATAGTCAGCTGTGTCTTTTATTTGTGATTTGAGTAGTTAGACATCGTCATTGCTGTTTTAGCTTTCACTTCCATTTTAAAAGCTTCCTCTTTTAGTTTCATATAAAAATTACTGATGATAAAATCACCAACTCTTCACGAACTGCAGCTGGTGTAAAATTATACAAATGATGCTGTGGGTATATATGTATCTCATTAGGGAATTGGAGCTTAGAAGGTCACCAAAGAGAAATTTTACAGCTGCTTATCATAAAACAAATGTATCTAATGAGTTCCTTTTCTAGATGTATGGCTCAGCATGTCTGATATTTTGATTCCAGGAATTGATGCTGGCGTACAGAAGACCATTAATTCACTAAATTTTTGAGTATAGATTAAACATTTTTCTTTTAAACTGATATACCTAACTTTTTTCTTACATCAAAATATATGAGGAAAAACATAAGTGGTCTTTCCTGATGGGCATCTTCCACAATTGGTGTTGTCCCATAGATGACTTTTGGAAATTCAAGAAACTACACATAGTGTTTGGCTGGGTTTCAGAAAAGCTCCTTATTGCAAAACCTTGTGGCCCTTTACATCCTGGCTGGGAATTGCTGTCGATGTGATTACCTGATTCAGTACTGAATGCCACCGTGTTGCTGAGCGGGCCTTCCCCCAGTGGGTTTTTTGGTTTCACCTGGAATTCATAGCTGTGTAGGAGGGAAATGAAAACAAAATAGTAATATATTTTTCAGTGGGAGACAACATTCCCTTGTTACACTAATAGCCTTCCCGAATCTGTTTTGAATGGACATATGTTCTAGAAGCACGAGGAAAGGAAAAATAAAACATTGAATCTTACTTTCTAAACAGCTTGCATAATGCTTTATATAAGAACAGTGTTAAGTTAATAAAATAATTGTCTAAATTTTTAAAGTCCAAATTAGTAGCAATAACCGGGAAAGTTGATAATGGATATATAGGAAAGAGTGGACCCAGGCTAATCCCAGCAACAAGGATCCTCAGTTTTCTCTAGATGTTTCAACTACTTCCTGGGGGAGAGAAGTAGGGAGATCCCTTTATATTCCCTTTATCACAACCCTCAGTCTTAGACTTAGGCCGTGTTCCTCTTTGTGGGGTTTGCACTTCCTATGTCGGTATCACATAGCAGCAGCTGTGGAGAAAGTTTGTTTTAAATGCAGACTTCTTGCTCCATCCTATCTACTGAATCAAAGTTTTGAGGGGGTCCACATAGGAATTCACACGTGACATTTGAAAACTGTTAGACTAAGCTATGGAAACAAATGCACATGAAAAAAGTTCTTTACAAGGACTTCCTGGTTGTGTTTCCTGGAACTCAGGTCTTCTGTGGACTTCAGGAAGCCACAGCATCTCCAGAATAGGGACATGGAAGTGTCACGTCTTGAAGAGCATGGGCACAAAAGCAGACTTTTCTCTCCTCTGCAGGCCAGGTTCATGTGGGCTAGGCACTCAGCATTTATGTTAAAAATCAAAACAGGCCTGGCCAGATGGCTCTGTTGGAACATCAGCCCATACACCAAAAAAGATTGCAGGTTCAATCTCTAGTCAGGGTGCATATGGGAGGCAACAGAAGGATCTTTCTCTTTCTCTTCCTCTCCTTGCCTCCATCTAAAATTAATATATAAATCCTCTCATGAGGATAAAAACAAACACCCAAATAAACCCAGATCTTTAGGAGGTATATGTTTGACTATATCCTTAAGAAGTATGTATTAAATTGCTATGCAATAACTGAGAAATGTAATTCATGGAATACTTACGCAGAGCACATCCTTTAAAGAAATTCAAATAGTAAAATTAGTTTTCACTTGCCTAAAACTGTGAGTCTTGGGTGCCGGAAAGGATTTTGGATGCAAAACCAATTTGAGTCAGCTGATAGCATGGTGAGTCTCAAATTTGTAAAGGCTTTTGGTAGATAATTCCCTTTTTTTTTTTTTTTTTAAAGTTTGTAATTGAATAAGAATGCAGAATATACAAAAGGAAGATATTTTATAAATAAGTGAAAAACAGAAGGATGACAGTATTAACACACACTGCTAGAATCCCCAAGACAGACTCTAGCATTATGACAATGGCAGCTCCTTTAGGGGCACTTACTATATATCAGACATAATCAGTCTGTGTATATAAAGTAACATACAAACCCTAAGAGATCAGTGTTATGCCATTTTTTCAGTTAAGAATGATGAGGCTCTTAACCAGTGTTCTGTCTATTTTTACAAACTTTGTGAAACGAAGATTAAAATTTACAGGGTTGCCCTAGCTGGTTTTGCTTAGTGGATAGAGCATTGACCTGCGGACTGAAGAGTCCGGGTTTGATTCCTGTCTGCACATGCTCGGGTTGTGGGCTTGGTCTCCAGTAGAGGGCATGTAGCAGGCAGCCGATCAATGATTCTCTCTCATCATTGATGTTTCTATCTCTCCCTCTCCCTTCCTCTCTAAAATAAAAAATAATACGTTAAAAAAAATTTACAGGGTTTTTACTGAGAGACTGCACATCAAAACATTTTGTAACCTAATCAACTGATATAAGATACCATTATCATTTGCAATAAGCGAATGCTAATATAAAACCACATGTCACTCATTTAAATAAATTGCACAGACATAGGGAGTTTTGGCATGGAATATTTTCTAGAGATGAGATTCTTGCTCAGAAGCCTGATGACCTTAAAACAAAAACAAACCAGTATGATGAACTGATATTGGAAAAAAGAAACCACAGGCATTTGGACTTCGATTCAAGTGGGCAATGCATCCCACATTCCAGGCCACTGCCAAAAGCCCTGTGAGTTGGCTAACTCTGATTGCTGGAACCATCTCCTTGTCTTTTTATCTTGCAGTTATTTATACTTCAGCTCTATTTGTAGTGTGACCACAAATACTCCTAAGAAACTTTGTTTTTTTTGCCAACATTTTGTGATACTTGACAAGTTTTGAAGAAATCATTTTAAACTAAATTTAATTAACAGTGTGGGACTAAAAGGTACATATTTTTGGCAGATTAAACCCTATATAAAGAGAAAATATTGAATTGGCAAAGTTTTTCCCAAGAAGCACATTATATCACAAGATCTATGTCATTGTAAGTCAATATTGATTATACATAGGAAATAAGCATGGAATGATATATTGAAAAGCTCTAAAGCACAATAAAGTTATTTAAATAATGCTTGGAAGAAGATTTGGAAGATCAAGTTAAGGAAGTTTTACAAATACATGAACAAAAAGTCAGAAATGAAAAGTGAGAGAAAATAAGAAAATAGGATTATTTCAGGGGATACAATACCTAAGTATTGGGTTCTAGCAGAGATAGGGAAAAAGGAGGGTAGAAAATTATCCTGGAAATTATGTAATTTCTCAGAACTGAAAGACATGGGTTTGCAGATTACAAAGGCCCAATGTTCACCCAGAAAAATGAAAAAAGAAAAGAAAAACTATCCAAAGCACAAACGATGCAAAACTTCAGAGTATTGGGGTAAAGACACAATTTTAAGTTTCTGAGAAGAAAATAGGTCCCACTCAAAGAGCCCAGAATCAGAATAACATTTGACTTCCTAACAGCACTGGAAGTTAGAAAATAATGGAATGACGTCTTCAAAAACCTTCATTGTACCCTAAACTCCATGTCTAGCTAAATGATAGTATTAGAGTAAAACAAGGATATTTTCAGATATGTCGAGACTCAAGAATATTATTTTCCTTAAGCTTTCCCCAAGATGTATTTCTCAACAAGTGCCACAATGCCAGGGAGTAAACAAAGAAGGGAGGTAGGAGATGTATGAGTTGGTTATTCAACGTAGGTGAGAGCCAAAGATGATGATGTTGAGGAATTCCAGGAGATGTTGTCATAAAAAAAAAGTACACAGAACATATACACTGAGTGTCCAGATTATCTCTGAACACATAAAAATCTGGCATATGCCAGTGTATGAGTGGGGTCCGGCTAGCCTGGCCAGGAAGAGGGGACATGGGCGGTTGGTGGGCCTACCTGCTGGTTGAACTCCTGGTCAAGGGGATAATTTGAATATTAGCTTTTTATTATATAAGATATACACTGAGGGGCCAGACTATTATGTGTTCAGAGATCAAAATAATCTGGCCACTCAGTGTAGATGACTTGAGCATTTGATCATTCTGAGAAATGGTCAGTCTAGAAATATGGATTTAATTGACAAAAGAAATAGCTAAAATAATTGAAAATTGCAGAGGTGACTAAGATGGTGACATAAGAGGTTTCTGAGCTCCCCTCCTCCTACAGACACGTCGAATGTATAGCTCCACACAGAGCAATTCCTATTGAAAGTGATCCAGAAACTAGCTGAATAGCTCCTACACATTAGGCAAATGACAGAACACCAACCCACATCAATGTGCCTAGAAAAGGCTGAGTCACTTGACAGAACCCCCTGCCACAGGGCCATACAATCAGGAGCAGATCCACAACTACCAGCTTTTCCCTGAGGAACAAAGAGTTTGGACCCCAAATCTAGCATCTGGATTTTGCCAACATTTGTGATACTTTCCCCAACTTCTAAGACTCTCTAAATACCCATCTCTAAAAGCCAATGGGGATTGTGTCTATGAAACCTTTAAGAATATAGCAAAACAAAACCCAGTTATTCACAAATGTATTGAGCACTCCTTTCCACCCCCTCCAGGGATTAGAGCCAAGGAAACAGGCAAAAACCCCCATATACTTTGAAGGCTACCTGAGGATGAGGTTTCTAACTTCAGCGCTCATCTAGTGACTGACTGCAATCCTCGCCAGGGACAGAAACAGCAAACACCTTTCCTGCCCTCTCTCCTTAGCCCACTCCAACAACAAAACCAAGTTACTAGTGTCTCCCTGGAAAGAATTTTTACAAATGGGTGGCACTCCAGCTTTAGTGGCTGCCGCCCAAGAAATGGGCCCCCAGATTACCTGGCTCTGAGAGCCAATGGGGCTTGCCTTCCTCAGCCCCACAGTACTGTATCAGATGAAGTAGTTCTTAACAGGTGCAGGAGTATCCCCTCCTCCCCACAGCTGTATCTGGGCCCGGCAGAGAGGAAGCAGGCAAAAACACCCATCTCCCAGTGTTTCCCTAGAAGGGGCTTACTACATAATGCTCCGCTGCCACCTGAGGGTCCAGTTTCTAATCAGCCTGCATCTAAGTGCTGACTGCCCTTCTCACTTTTGGGACACTGACAGGTTTGGGCAGACCCTCAACTCCTGAAGCCACTAAGAACAAGGAAGGTGGCGAGGGCACTCTCAGAGGCTTGAGAGACAGCTAGAAGCTTGGATGAACTGATCAGAGTGATTCACTTTTATAATAGGAATAGTCTACCATGACTGGAGAGGTGGCTGTTTTATCTCATGTTTGGAGATCAACAAAAAGAATCAAAGAAAACGAAGAAATAGGAATATGGTCCAAACAACAACAACAACAACAAAACCAAGAAAAATCTCCAGAAACAGATTTTAATGAAATGAACATAAGTTATTAACCTGATAGAATGTTCAAAATAACAATTGTAAATATGTTCACCAAGGCCAGGAGAACAATGCACAAACAAAGTGAGAATGTCAACAAAGAAAATAGTAAAAAGCACAAAACAGAAAACATATAGCTGAAGAATACAATTACTGAACTGGAAAAAAAATCATTAGAGTTTAATAGCAGACTAA